GTCATTTAAGACATATAAGACATATTTGACATACAGATGGCTTAAGTCATGTGTGAATCTTCGGTTTTTAGATTAAATACAGTGTATTTCATTCAAATTACGCCATATCAACATTGATTTTAATTTCTAACAGGGCCACTTTTATTTATTAGAAATGTCCTTAACGTTTAAATGTATAAAGCAGCTGTGCACATGAGATAGAAACCATTCAAAATGAACAGATACATTTATTAACATTGTGGATAAGTCCATTATGTCTTGGTAGTTACAGTGAGCTACTGCCAGATAATGTTTAACAAGATATAGTCCCTAAATACAGCCATTTAGTTTCAATAGTCCATTAAAATCTTCAGTACACATGCACATGCACAAAGCAAATGAGGTTATAGATTGAGGTTAGAACATATAAGTCAATATATGGTGAAATGCGTAGATTAATTCAGAGGTATGGCTGCTGAATGACCTTAACTCTGAATTACATTTTCATAAGCGCTTATATAATGGCTGTGTGGTGCAGTTTAATAGCTTTCTGTATAGTAGTGGGTCAGTTTGACTCATCCTTTAATGAAGACTCCAAGGGTATCATTGCAAACTCTCAATGTTAATGTTGATTTTGGAGATTGTGTAAGGATAAGAGTTTGACTGTTTGTGGGCAGATAGTGGTGACTGCCATTATCATCCATTAAAATGTCAGTTTTACACATCCAATCCAACCAACACCTTCCTTACCTATCAAAATGCAATCTGTCATAATAATTAAGTAAGTTTTGTTTTTTTCCAAGTGGTCCAGCTGTTCCACGGGGTAAAATGTCCCTGGTTAAGTTGAGGCTTGATTTACGGCACAAAATCAGTGCGTCAACAATTGGAGAGAATAGCCCCTTTTTTCCGTGATAACGGTCAGTAACTATTCCTAACTACAAAAGAGTAAAATTGTAGTGTCGTTGCAGCAACTATCCCCAGAAGCAAATGATGGTGGGCGATTGATTAAAATAGGAAAATGTGGAATACATTTATTTTGACAAAATCAAATGTTCTTTGTTGCAAGGCTTGGAACACGGAAACACTAGAGGAGTTGTCTGTTTTCACTTTAAGGAGTGATGGGATAAAACAAAATGAAAGGGTGATGTAGAGGAAGGAAGACAGGAAGTGAAAAAAACAAAGAGACAACGATAAAGCGACTCTTTGACCTCTATGTCAGAGAAGAGAGGAAAGGAGGAGGATAAGAAATGACCTGCCCACAAGCCATCACACACACAATAATTATTAACTACTTAAAGATTAACTTAATATGTGTGTTTCTTCCCGTGATCCGTTGGTCAATATAGCCTCTAGAGCAGTGGTTCCCAAACGTTTTCAGTCGGGCCCCCCTTGGGTAATTGGAAATATTTTCGGGCCCCCCCAACCCGGTTCCCATCTATATTGGTAGGATTAATTGTTGTAAAAACATAAAATGTTCTCTGCTAATAATAATAAGATACAAAGATCCAACTATAATTTTATATTTTATTATGGATTACACATGAACAAAAGTGCTTGTAATAGATACTGTGAATTAATTTGGCCTAATTAAAACTAGTAGGCCTTCTTCCCTGAGTAGTAGATTTTTAAATTCAAATTTATTTAAAGAAAATATATGAATGAACACTTAACTACTATTTCTACTGCAGATTGCAAACGATCACATCACTTTACCATTCCATAAATTGGCCTACTACAACCAAATTGAACAAATTAATGGTATATTTATTGTTAAATATATACAAAAACCTAAGAGAAATGGTCGCTGCTCTCTGCTACAATGGGAATAGGTGTATTCCTCAAAATATCTTGTTTCTAGGTTGTTGTTTTTGTATTTACTAATCAATGATTTTAACCACACTGCTTAGCCGTCTATCAATAGTGATTGACCCAAAACATATGACTACAATTCTTTTCTCAAATAATTGTAGTTATTGGTCGGACACTCCTTCAAAAGGAGACCAGGAAAGCAACTAATGCAGCCATTCATTTTGTACATGCCTCCTATCAAACTCTTCCCTAAGGCTACAGCATTTTCTTAAATGTCCTCTTCATTTTACCCTTATGTTCATTCCATTCCTCAATTTCCATCGGCCATCACCCCTTCTCTTTTTGTCACCCATTACCTTTTAGACAAAAAGTCCTATGAATGTGAATGGGCTTCAGGGAGAACATGGCCAGAGGTCCAGCATAGCTTAATGCACCGCTGTGGGGGAGGTCATTTCTTCTGCAGCAGCATGGAGCAAAGCTGACACATTGTCATTAGTGTAATTAATCTGAAGATGGGCTATTACATTTGCATGATATCAAATTGCCTTTTTTCCACAATGAGATTAGTAGATTTAGCATGCCTGGCCTGCATTTAACGCATTCAGCAGACAACATTGTGTTGCTCTCTCTCTCTGTGTGGACTTCCCTCTCGATTAACTAGTGAGAGCGATATCCAATAGGATGTGTCCGCGTAATTAGCCGTGTCCCGGGGATGTATTAGCTCACACTCAGCTAGATCAAGTCTGACACACTACTTCCTGTGTGTGTGTTCATTATAATCTCCCTATGGCCTATGTCATCAGACACGCTACATTCCTCTCCAGCAGAGTGGAGACGTCACAGTGACTCCTATAGTTTTACCTTTAAATGAAGACTCCAAGCCCACCGTGTTCTGACTGTGTAACCACACGTGTTTGTGGGTTTATAATAAACGTGCACAGATGCATGTGCTCGTCATGAATAATGGAGACTTCAGGATGGACTGAGCATTTACCTGACAGCAGCACACTGCTCCACCTCCAAATCCATGAGTTACTGTCTCTCTCTCTGGCTACTGTGATTCAGCCAGGCCTTGCACTCAGTGACCTATCTCTGCATTCAAAGCTTTTGTTGAGTTTTTTTTTTAATGAAGCCTAAATGTCTGCTGTCTTATTTTTGTCATCAACCTCCAAAAATTGGCGATTTTCTTTCTTTTGTTATAGTTATATACATCTAATCGATGTTGCTGTTGGACATCCACGTTGAAATATGTGCCAACATACTGTATATGGATTGAAACAGAATATTTCGGCAGATTAGGTACAAATATATCTTTTTTTTATGTATCAAGTCCCCGACCAGACCTAAATATGGAGTGTGGACTTCTACTTGGAGAGGTCCCAGTTCACCTCCTGCCCTGCTGTGGTGCCCTTGAGCAAGGCACCGGACACCCCCCTTCCCCCCTCACTCCCATTGCTCCCCGGGCGCTGTACAATAGCTGCCCACTGCTCCTAGTGCTAGACTCCTGGTACTAGGATGGGTTAAAAGCAGAGAACACATGTCACTGTGTGTTCTGTGTGCTCTGCATGTGTGACCATTAAAGAGGGTTTCATCTCTCCCAATTCTATTCTTTAGGATTATTTTCTCTTTGAAATGTATCTGACTTTTTTACCGTAGCTACTGCAAGTGTTCTCATGTGTTGTGTTGGAGTTACAGGAAAATGGCCTCTGCTTTTTTCACATCATAACCTAACAACCTTCCCTATGACGTCAGCAACCTTTGTTGTTTGCTTCAGGCAATACAAAAAAATAAGCTTTTCAATCCAGTGCCTATACTTATAATTGCATAATAAGGCTTATTTTGTTACTGTAGAAATACTAGGCTTGAACAGAAATAATTGATATGCAAAAATGTTGATTTAGAATTTGAATGTCATCGTTATGAGCATAGCTTTCGAAAGCCTCAAACTACTTGGTAGAGTCCAACCAGCTCGTGCAATGGTAATAAACGACCTACAACCATTTATTAATGTACCCTATTGTCTAGAAGACCGAGACATTCATCAAACATATTAAATGCATAGCAGTATCTTGATGCCATTGGTGCAGTGATATATCACCAATTTGCTAATAAATTAATGCCGGCTAATCCACATGTGACAAAGGCTCACTTACTGCAAGACAGAGCACATGCAAGGGGAAAACAAACACACACACACACACACACACACACACACTCACAGAATCCCATTAACGCCAACATGGTTCTTTGTGTTTGTGACGGCAGTACGTTGCAATCTGCGTTTCTTTTTAACGAACCACGTAAGAGAAGCTAGCGCTGGCGGGCCTGCACTCATGTGTAACTCCATCTGTATGACGCACTGACAAAAGTTGCTTTCACTAATGTGGCGTTTGTGCATGCATGTGCCAAGCTGTGTTCAGCTGTATCTCCGCGGCAGAGTTGTGATTGTTCCGGCCGAGCGCACTCACATGCCATATGTTTACAGGCAAACACGCGGCCTCTCAGTGATGCTCATGGGATGTTCTAGTAAGAAGTGCAATGCAATGTGGATGCTGCAATTACTAAAAACTCCATACAACTGACAAATTCTACGAGTTAGGGTCTTATTTTTAGAATAGAGACTGAAGTGCAGGATGGTTATGACCTTGGCAGGATGACTTTTGATCCATGACTTACATGCCCTGGTTGGTTGTTTAGCTTTAAGAATGTCAATAAACTTGCAGAAAAGTAACCTTTCCATTATGATTTGGTGATATTCATCGTGCCCTACTCATTTTCAGGTCCATATTAGTATGTAGTGTCTCTAATGTGACATGTTTCCATTCTTTAATGTTCAACAGTTCTTTATTTTTCTCATACTGCCTGTGCTGCAGCACCTCTTTTCACCCTCTGTCTGAAACCAGAGCCCAGTCTGCTCTGATTGGTTTGCTGGCCGACTCTGTTATGATTGGTCAACCGCTTGTGTGTCCGAAATGTCCTGCCCCTTAGCTTACCACGTACAACGAGCTGGAGTGCTAGCCAATAGCAGCGCTAGTATTACATAGTGATGTTATATGTCACAGAAGTGAACAAAGGAAAGGGAAAACATAATAGGAGTCTTGTCTACACTTTAATTGATCAATTCAAGTGATCACGTTGCCTAAACTAAATTCAACACTAACATTAAACTGTCCCCGGTGGTAATTGTTATATATACTTGTTCCTCTCTGTAGTGTGGATCCAGACTCTCCGTTGACGGCCTTGATTGAGTCGTTGAATCTGGACAAAAGGTTTTCATCCTGACAGCCAACCATGGACAGGAACAGGAAGTGGGTGCCGGGTTTCGGAGCAGTGCTATTGACACTCTTGAGTCACATGACCTCGGCGCTGGAAGTGCCTCTTGATCGTAAGCATTGTTCTTATGGATATCCCTTTTACTAGGATTACCATAATAGTACATTTTGGAGAAAACGTTTTGAATCAACTATTGCATTATCATTAAAGCTTTGAGCTCTTGAAAACTGTTATTTCAATTCTATCTAACTCTTCGTATTGGGTAACAATGTCATAATGCAGCAGTTTTTTAATTGTGTTTCCGCTTTGTATGTTTCGGCATGGACTCACATTTCCAGCTTTAAATTATGAAATGACATTTTTAAGAATTCCGTTTCCCTATGTCTTCAACTACTTTTCTTGCATTACTTGTACCTGCCCGATGAAGCCGTAAAAGTATTCACGACAAAAGAGGGAAATCTCTCCCAAGCTTCAGGCAGGCTCAACAAAATGCTTAAAAATACTTGAACGTGCGACTTTATCACCTGAACCTGTGCTCTACTCCTTTCCAAAACTAACACCTTTCCTCAATATTCTATCACTGTGGTACGGCCTGTCATGGTGGACAAAAAGCTAAAGTACTGGAAGGATGTAAGTTGCCTCGAACACTGCTGTGACTTCCTAGAGTTTTTTTGCACTAAAAACTTGCTTTGGTGTGTTCTAGCAATGTTAGATGTGCATGCAGTTATCTCAACAGTGTTTCAGTGTGAAGTGACTTGCTTGTTTTTGGAGTGATGCTTGTCTTATGTCAGTTCATGGACTGGTAAGTTGCTATCAGAACAGATAGCTGTTTGCAGACGGTGTTAAAATATGATTGTGTGACGCTTGCTGCATGCATTTTTTGGATTCTATAACCCCACCCCCAGTGTCATGCATTTCCCTGTATGTGTATGAAGTTTACTTCCTTTCATGTTCCTCCAGTGCCCCAACCCCCCACTATAACGCTACAGTCCCCGAAGGATTACATCTTTGATCCGCGGGAGAACATTGTCATCCACTGTGAGGCCAAAGGGAAGCCTCATCCCAGGTGAGACAAACGCGCCTCTTCACTTCTCAATGTAACAGAGTACATGTATAGACAAATCCAAGTCAATAACATGTATTTATTTTTTAAATAACGGCATAATTCAGGGACAAAAGCTTGTGAAATGATGTCATGCCAAAGAATCAACCTGAGAGTTTCAGCAATTAAGAGCCATCTGTTTCCATTCCGTTTTATGTGTGAAATTAAAGATTTATTTTGAGGGCATCTCTTGAGCATTGGGGAAATACTGTATGAATCGCCATAGCGACAGTTGTCATGGACACCACTTCAAAAACATCTGTCGGGGTAATTTAGACGATTTCAAGTTTTTCAATCCCCCAAACTCCCTGCTTCGTAATTTCCTCTCTTTTGTGTTTCCTCGTGGCTTCTGGCCTAGAAAATCAAGTGCTAATTATCTTCCTTGTTGATCCTAGCTTCTCATGGACAAGAAATGGGACCCACTTTGATGAAGAGAAAGACCCCAAAGTCCTGATGAAGCCCGGCTCAGGAACTCTGGTCATCGACATCAGCGGGGAGAAGGCCGAGGCCTACGAGGGAACGTACCAGTGCACGGCACACAACGAGCACGGCACCGCGGTGTCCAACAGCATCGTCATCAGGCAGTCCAGTAAGAACTCTGGTTGTGTGTCTGGATTAGGGTAGGGTTGTACAACTGTTGCATCGACCAACGAAGAACCAATTATCCTGAGAGTTTTTGGGTAGTAAGGCTGCTCAATATATTCAGTGTTTATCATCATCTCAATGTCAGCTTTTGCAATAAACACGTTGTTAAAGACAGCAGAATTGCACATTAAGGGATTATTGGTTAGTAGAAAAAGAGTATGACATTTCCTTTATTGGTAGCTTGTGTTTTCACTACAATTTTTTTGTTTGTGTGATGAAAGAATGTTGTAAAAAATATCCAATTACATTTTGGAACGGAATAAAAACACGGAGTTAACAAACAATACATACAAGTTCTGGTTTCTGTAAAAAAGGAAAATACTCTAAAGCAGTGTTTCTCAAACTTGTTCATACCAAGGAGCACTTAACCAATAAAAAAACACTCGCGGACCACCTAACTCCACAAATATCCAAAATCACATCGTTTTTCTAGAACAGATTACAAATCGCCTGAAAATTGTACAATCAAGTGGCAACATGTGTGATGAAGGTGTTGCGCTGGGCTATATCATGCAATCGAAAGTGAAACTTAAGCTCGCTCCATTGCGGAGATATTCCCGGGAGAGTGCGGAAAACTCAAATTAATTAATTTATTTCAAATGTGAAATGTTACCAATATACTCACGGACCACCAGTGGTACGCAGACCACACTTTGAGAAGCACTGCTCTAAAGGCTTGCGCTCCAACATCATCAATATGATACATTTTTTATATGTTTTTTTGAGCTGTTAATCACAAGCTTTTTTTTCCATTTTTCCGAAATGTCTGGAATTAAACTTTGTTCCTTATATATCTAGCTTCCGAGCAAATCGCGCCACTTTTACATCTATGTATTCATGTGATCCACACTGTTTGAGAATCTATGGGAAGCCTCCAGTGCCTTTTGTTTGATGTTTGTGTGACTCGCAGGGTCCCCCTTGTGGTCGAAGGAGAGGAATGAGGCCATCGTGGTGCAGATGGGGGTCTCCCTGGTGCTGCAGTGCCGACCCCCTGCTGGGCTGCCCCCTCCGGTCATCTTCTGGATGGATAACAGTGAGTCATTTGCATTTATACATATATGAACACATGCTACATGGAGGGAGAATTCCCAGACCCTATAGAATACACAAACAAAGGATTGCAGACTGCAAATTCAGCATTTAGTCACTATAGCATATGGCGACCCGAGAATAGATGAAAAATAAAGCTTTCACTGACCTTATGAAATAGCAAATATGTTTTGGTTGTAAAACAACATTTAAAAAAGGTGCTTACATATTGTTCTTTATTCCGTGTTTAACCTTTGTCTCCCCGTCCTTCAGACTTCCAGAGGCTCCAACTGGATAAGCGTGTGTCCCAGGCTCTGAATGGAGACTTGTACTTCTCCAACGTTCTCCCAGAAGACACCAGGAGCGACTACATCTGCTACGCACGCTTCCCTCACACACAAACCATCCAGCAGAAGCAGCCCATCTCCGTCACCGTGCTGGACAGTAAGTCAAGACACTGATTTCACTGCAAAATTAAAACAAAAATGTAATATTTGCACATTTAAGCTTTCTGATTGTGTATTTTCATTCTTATTTTCTAATTATTGCAAAAAATGTCCCCTTGATGGCACATTTAAATGCATTTTTTTTCACATTTTCTGATCAACAGAATTTATAATTACTATTGTTTTAAATCCATGAGTCCCTGCAAAACTGCATTAGCTTCAGTTTTGCTGTTTTTCCCTAAGCTTTATAAAGTGCTTCTAGTGGTATAACAATGTCTTTATTGTAGTGCTATACCCATAATTTGTCAACAATTTCTCATCACTCTTCCCACAATGCACTTTGCACAAGCTAATGCATTAGCTAATGCATTGGTGAATTGTAAAATAACCCATTTCCTGTTTTCTTTCCTAGCTTTGCATGCTTATGCTTTTCTGTTATATTACAGTGGAAACAATGAATGAGACTGTGGCTGCTTTATACAATGTCACTGATTTCTATAGTGGTGAGTGCTGCTGGTTTATTCCCATTCAGCCCCCTCACGTGACCCCAGCCCTGCTTTTACCTCACCGTACCCAACACACACTCACCTTCAACTCTATTAACAAACTCTTCCTCTCATCTCTCATCTCTCTCCTGACAGTTTTTGTGTAGTAAGGCTGCTCAATATATTGAGTGTTTATCATCATCGCAATGTCAGCTTTTGCAATAAACACGTTGTTAAAGACAGCAGAATTGCCGATTACGGTATTTTTTAGTTAGTTAAAAGAGAGTATGACGTTTTTTGTATTAGTAGCTTTTGTGTTCACTTCAATGTTTAATTTGTGTGATGAAAGAATGTTGTAAAAAATATCCTTTACTGTATTTTAGCAGTACTAAAAGCAACAGAGAGGGAGAACTCAGTACACTGTACTAAGACATCCATAACTAATAGTTGTAGAGGAAACTTCTGTGTAGCTATGCTGTGGGAGTCACCGACTCAGGAAGGAGACACGGTAGGAGCAGTAGCTTTGATGTCAAACACTGGTGGTTTATTTGGAGTTAACGGCCGGAGGATTCACATCACAAGTCCAAGAGTCAGAGGTTCTGACTTCACGGTAGAGTTGCCACGTCAATTCTGGAGAGCCTCTCTCTTGCCAGCCCATCTAACTGGTTTCGCAGAGAGTAAACAACATATTTGAGAAGATAGCCTAAACAGTGTGGGAACACTGAGCTACTTGCGTCGGACACTTATGACCTCGAAGATTTCACCTTGGAGTCCACAAATACAGAGAAGGAAATGTCCCAGTGTACCCACAACACAGACCATCTGTGACCCAGTATTGACCGGTCACAGAATGGGAACAATAACATTATTGGCTAAGCAGCCTGTGTCCTTAAAGAAGGTAAACAGACATCAAGGTTTGTCCTGTATGTCACATCTTGGCGTCTATGACAATTATTTCCATAACAATAGTTACCTGTTCCTTATAAGGATACAAAAAGGCTGAGATGTAAGAAAAAATACATAATTTAATTTCCTTAGTTCTTGCTGATTACAATTATTAACTAAAATAAAAGCTCTGAAACTGTGGATTTTTACAAATAAAGCCAATTTGGCTCTAGCTTATTTGCCAATAATTCTCTTATCATTTAATTATGGTAATAATATAAATGTCCATGTATTTGAATATTTATTGACATATTGCATCCTAACTCAAATCTGTTTATATTTACATGGCACATGCATGGTCATAAACGTGATCACATAATTTCCTCAAATAGTGCAGCCTTATTGTGATTATTGCGGGTCTGATGATGAAGATGTTGGTGAATATAAAAAAAACTTGCCTTTAGGGTTAGTATCCGCAATCTCAAAAGCCCAGGATGTTGTAAGCCACATTCAAAGCATGTATAACATTAAATATCAACTAACTGCATCTCCCCAGGTATCATAAACACACTCTGGACTGATCTGCATCAAGAAAGCCCTCAATTGTTATCCAAGATGGCGACATGTGAAGCATGATATTATTATTATTATTATTATTATTATAACATGACATTGCTCTTTGTCCACATCCTGAAGTGGAAGGGGATCATTATCTGTATTATCTGACCTTTCCAGCTGAGGAAATGTATATCGTTCCATTAGGAATGTATGTGAGGCTTGGAAGTGGGTTGATTTTAGCCAAGATAAGGCCCCATGTTGCCATAGCAACAAACCGACAGCTACCCCTCTCAGGGAGATACCCCCATGCTTTCTGATTCTGAGGATGCTGCTTATATAGAATATGATAAGGCTCTACTGAAAAAAAAACATGTTGGGTCATCTCATTTATTATCCTATTCACTTTGACATCCACTTTTCCTTCATGAGAATAAAAATGGCCCTCTGAGCCTGTGGTTTCATCCATGGTTACCATTTGTTGTTGTGTATCAGAGTGGTTCTGATGTGGTTGTGTGTCCTCGTGTCTTCAGACAGCCCAGAGGGGGAGCGCCGCCCCGGGTTCATGACGCCTTTTGGTGCCACCAGCACCAAGATGGTTCTGAGAGGAGAGACTCTGGAGCTGGAGTGCATTGCTGACGGCCTGTAAGTAGGAATCTATAAATAACATGGAGACAGAAACAGTTTTACAACAATGACAAAACTAAATGTATATGACAGCACAGAATGTAGAAATAGCAGAACAACAAACATCCTGTATGTCCTCTGTGACAGGCCCTCTCCAGAGATGTCCTGGCAGAAGGACGGAGGAGAGCTGCCCAGCACCAGGACGTCCTTCTATAACTTTAAGAGAACCCTCAAGGTTTCTGAGGTGAATGAAGCTGACGGGGGAGATTACCGCTGCACTGCCACAAACAACCTGGGCACTGCTTACCACATCATTAAAGTCACCGTCAAAGGTAAGCAGCTTCACCTGGTTGTTCATTCGTTTCAATCGGTGCATCAAGTAGATATTTTCGCTACATAAGAATTTAAGGTCAATTGAAAAGCTGTTTGACAACAAATATTTGTATAAACACTTTTGGTATCTTGGATTCTTAGACTTTTACAGTTTTCTTTGATTAAGATAAGATTTAAAAGGCCTAGACTAGAGTGTCAAATGAACAAACAAAAAAAACTGGATAAAGCTGACCTAATATGAAAAATAACTGACAGGACATTTGACACATAACAAACATTTTAATATCATTTTAATGAAAACTGACTAAATTAACAGTAGTTGGTAATCAACCAAGCCGGCAAAACAAAATGCTCAACATTCATCATCAGATTCTATTTTAATGAAAATATCTTATTAGTCAGATCCAAGTTAAAGAGCCTGTGACACGAGTTTCCCTCATCATCCAAACCCATCAATTTGAGTAAATATTGTTCCCTTGAAAACCGTTACTGAACTGATTTTGGATATTTGTACTTTGATAACCATTAATCTGCCCTTCAATGTTGACCATTTTCTGGATCTTCTCGGGGATTCTTCAAATCCCGCCAAATTATGTGTGACGTCATTGCGGGCACAGCGCTCCAGCTGCACCGTTCAGGATCCCAGCATCTGCATGTAAACGCACGATGGTGCACACAGCAGCAAGCTCAGACAGCGATGACAGTTTAATTTTGAACGTGTCTGAGAGCTCATATGAGGCTGAAGGATCGGTTTATGTTGTATCTGTTAGAAGTTTAGGAATTAGGTGCGTCAATATGGGCGATCATACGGTCATGTAGCCAGTGGTGGAATGGGACTAAAAATCATCCCGGGACTCTCGACCGGCCCACTTCGGTACCGCGAGTAAATTGTCAACGGGGGGGAGTGGAGGATGTGCTAGTGACTTATCCGACCGTCCCACTTCGGTACCGGCCCGATGGCCGGTCCGCCACTGCACCCAGCCCAGCCCACGTAAACTGTCAACGGGGGGAGCCTCGCTGCGGGGAAACGGTGGACCTAGTGTCCTGATCGGAGTGGGAATAATAATAATAATCTGTGCATTTTATCCATTAATTTCCCCAACATTGTGGTAAAAAAACCACACGTTTAATCCATGTTGGTGTACTACAACTACAAAAAGCATCGGTTTGTTTTCTCATCAGGAAATGCAGACCGGCTCAAACAAACGATTTTTAAATCATCATCCTCACGATCATTTAATGTATCATATGTTCGCCGAATTGACATGAAAGCACTAATAAATGTAGTTTCATCCACTTGAGTTTACAACTACAAAAATAATCGATTTGTTTTTATATCACATCCGACGGGAGGAAATTCAGTAGCTCTCACTACCGATTTGTAATCCTAATTTAATCATCTTCACCACGATCATGTATGTTTATGTTCGCCGAATTGACATTAAAGCACTGACTAATATGAATATACTGTAGTCAACTTCATTAAAACGCTATTAACGTGCCTAAACTCAGTAATTCACCATTTATACGCATAACAACACACTTTGTCCGTGTTTGGCTCTATCGCCGCAGTGAAGCGTTCCCGCATTGACGTCACTTCCGGCATCCCCCAAAACTTCAAAATGAGTCGAAGGAATTTCCCCGCGTTGTTCGAAATTATTGATATTTATCGGAACGGTATCTCAAATTATTTTTTAAACTGACGGTTCGAGATGACTAGTAGCCCAATATTTCATTGCACAAAAGTTGTTGGGAGGCTGTCACAGGCTCTTTAATGTTACATTATGCTAATATCATGCACCCTTAACGTATATAATGTAGCTTCATCATGTAGCTTAATCATAAACACAAGGCTCAGAATTTGTTTTTGTCACTCAAAAATCTTGCTCCTCGTCCTCCACAGCGGCTCCTTTCTGGGTCAGCGCCCCCAGGAACCTGATCCTCGCCCCGAACGAGACCGGCATCCTGACCTGTCGAGTCAACGGAGAACCCAAACCCAAGATCAGCTGGTTTGTCAACGGAGTCCCCATAGAGAGTGAGTAAAACGACGCCATGCTTACAAAGAGATATTCTACACTAGCACACAGATATGTCCACAGTGCCCGACATGTACCTAAACACACACAGCTGTAGTGGGACTCCCAATCCCTGCAGTGTTTTTTCCCTCCATTTACAGCTTCTTAAAAACTTAAAACCTTTATTTTGTCTTATAATAGACGCACCTGATGACCACAGTAGGAAGGTGGATGATGACACTGTGATTCTTAGCAATGTGCAATCAGGGTCCAGCGCCGTTTACCAGTGCAACGCATCCAATGACTTTGGTTACCTGATGGCAAACGCTTTTGTCAACGTTCTTGGTAAGTAAAGCCAATACAAGTTGAATGTACATGTTAGATATACAGTCCAGTAGAGATGCTGATTCACTTTATGTTGTGCTTCTTCTCATAGCCGAGCCACCAAGGGTGCTCACTCCACCCAACCGAGTGTACCAGGTCATCACCAACAACCCTGCGTTACTTCACTGTGCGTCCTTTGGCTCGCCAATACCAACCATCACATGGTAAGATTGGTTTGGGTTAACTTTCGATTGTCACTAGTATCATTGTCTATGTTTTACTGTATTGTTTTCAGTTTTTATTTTACATTTTTAATTTTCTTTTTTAAATTGTTTTATTTTAACATATTATCACTGTAGATGTTTTATCTTGTTCTGTATTAATTGTAATATTATTTTAATATTGTTGTTGTGTTTTCTGTAAAGCACTTAGGGCTGCTTTGTGCATGAAAGGTGCTACAGTATACAAATAAAGTTTATTCAGATTCAGATCAGGTTTTCACTTCAAACCGCAAGTTAAATTCAAATTCTTGTTGATTTTTCCCTTTCTTCCCACCAGTTTTCCATTAAATGCTCCCTCCTTTCCTTCCAGGTTTAAAGACAGTCAGACCAGCGTTAAGAATGGCGACCCTTATGTGATCCATGAGAACGGTACGTTGGATATCCATGTGGCCCAGCCATTAAACAGCGGGAAGTACACCTGCATAGCCACCAACATCCTGGGGATCAAAGAGAACCACGTCTTCCTGGAGGTTAAAGGTCAGATATGAAGGGAAACATTATATGTAAGGCCTCTATAACCACATCAAACAATGTTATTTATTAGTATTAACTCCTATTTTCTCTGTCTCCTAGAGCCCACCCGTATCCTGATGCAGCCGGAGTACAAGGTAGTACAGAGAGGAATGAGCGCTGTGTTCGAGTGTAAAGTCAAACACGACCCCTCCCTCATCCCCACCATGACCTGGCTCAAGGACAATACAGAAGTGTCTAAAGATGAGAGGTACAAAGACATTAAAGGTCACCTATTATGCAAAATCCACTTCTTCATGTCTTTTCTACATCAACATGTGTCCCCTCTTCTTCATGTCTCTTCTACATCAACATGTGTCCCCTCTTCTTCATGTCTCTTCTACATCAACATGTGTCCCCTCTTCTTCATGTCTCTTCTACATCAACATGTGTCCCCTCTTCTTCATGTCTCTTCTACATCAACATGTGTCCCCTCTGTGTAAAGAGACTCTGAAAGTTTCAGGAACAAAGATTCTCTCTCTTTTTGTCCTGATCCATTTCTATAAAAACCTGTGAAAATGAGCTGATCAAATTTCGGCCACTTTATGATGTCATAATGATTTTTTGGCTTGTGTAACCATTAGCCAATCACCAACCAAGGTAACCCCACCCCCCCCACCTTATCACCTGAATCTCCTCCTAGAGCACCATTGTGTTCTTTGTAACCAAATCTCTCTCAGAGGGGCGTGGGGAGGGGCTCCTTATTTTCATCTAAAGTAACAGACAGAGAATCAGCACTTTGGAAACAGGGCTGAAACAGAGGGGATTATGGGTAATGCTGCAAGCTTGATATTTCGAGAACAACCATTTCAGAGAGATGTTTGTATATATCTGAGACCTATAATATATTGATTGATGAAAAACAGTATAATAGGGGACCTTTAAGACACTTAAATAATCCCATTAAACACAGGATTATAACTCTCCATTCGACCCTCTGCCATCAGGTTTCAGGTGGACGTGGACAGTCTGACTATCACAGACGTTGAAGATGAAGATGAGGGCACCTACACCTGCATCATGAACACCACCCTGGACCAGGACTCAGCCAGTGCCATGCTGACGGTCGTCGGTACGTTCACGATGCATTCAGGGGTCCTTTGTTATAACTTAACAGGTTACCAGATGTTAATATCAATAATATCAAGTTTAGATAAAACTTTGATTCAACGTCAAATTATTGATTTTGTCTTACCTAATACAGTTATGTCAAATTTGTTGACATAATACATTTAATTGAAGTCAAGGTTTGAGTTTTTTCAGTGTACAAGGCTAAAAAATTAGCTAGCTGGCAAACGGCTAACAGAACTCAAGAAATGCAAACACATAAAATGCTCAAATTACAATACATTAACGTATTACAGAGTGAACTCTCATGGCCTCCGCACTTCTACCATTAGCAAACACATAACTTTCAGAACATCTCCACTTACAAGGTTGTAAATACCACATTTATCTCTTCCTACAGGACTTTAAAATGATCCCATTTGATTACAGAGAGTGAAACCACACAATGTAAAGACTTAGACTCAACACAAGGCACACAATATTCCCTTTCTCTTCTGCCCTGCTCATTTTTTACAATTACTTCCAAAAATCTTTATTGAAATGCACTCAAACCGCTTTTCACCCCTTCAACTTTACAGCAGCAGCGTCAGTTATGATCTAATTGTCGTCAGTATTTTCCCTGCTTGTCTGCTGTTCTCTAATATCTCTCACTAACATCTTCTTCTTGTACTTTACTCTTGCTTCTCGCTCTCTCAGAGGCTACTCCTACTCCAGCTATTGTCTACGGTAAACAATGTCCTCAAATTAGGATGCATAGCTTTCCTTATTCCCACCCAACCATCAAGTTCTGTTTGTAAAAACTCATTGGTTATTTCAGTTACGTTGTATTTATTCCTTTCTTTAATCCATATTATAGCATTTGATTTTCATTTAGGGAATCCATTTTTTTCATTTTCTCTTATTGTCGTATTTCTAGTTATTGTAAAAGGGCTCGCCCACACAGGTGTTTTCACTTAACCTTCCTGATTAGACCCTTCTCAGGTGTTTATGAGCATGCGCAGAGGTCTAATCAGTGAGAAGTGGAGACACCTGTGTGAGTGAGCATGAATCTAAAATGTTTAATTAAACAAAATAATCCTGCCCTTTGAAATACAACAGAGGAACCAAGGTGTATTGGTACAATTCTTTAAAAAATACCAATTGCCTCCGGTTTATTATTGAATCCAGGGTCATACATTTCATGTTTATCATTGTCTAGATTTATTTGATGGCTATTTTTATCTGAAAAAAATGATTATAGACATTTTGACAAAAAAAAGCTTCAGTGTGCATCAAAGTACATTTCCCTCCATTTTTTTTTTTTTTGTCAAATTGTCAATCCAAACAGTAGCAAGGCCTATTCCTCGTCAAAAACCAGGGAGAGACTTTTCATTTTTCTGTTGTGTGTTGCAGAGAGTCCCGACGCCCCCACCGACCTGGAGCTGACGGACCAGACAGCGAGGAGCGTTCAGCTCACCTGGACGCCCGGAGACGAACACAACAGTCCCACAGAGAGTAAGACTACACTTCACTGTTACCATGCCGATAAGACGCAATAGTCACTGACATCAAAAAACGATTTCCACATTTAAAAAAGTCCTCTGTTATGCAGGAAAGTTCCAATATAGTTTAGATTTCCTAAAGCATGCATGTTTGGTTTTGTTGGAATACTAAATAATATCCCTATTGAAAGAAAAATACATGGTCAGTTAGATTTTTAGGGACACATATTTTCTCCTGGATCGGTTAAAAAATAAGTCGGTGTTGACCAGAGGTGGAAGAAGTAGCCAGAGCTTTTACTTATGTAAAAGTAGTGTAAGGGAAACTTCTGCAGCAATGGAGAGTCAGGACTCAGAGAGACACGAGGAGAGTTGGAGCTTTGATGTCAAACACTGATTGTTTATTACAAGTATCGGCCGGAGAAATTCACATCACAAGTCACAGCAGCCAGAGATTCTGACTGCCCTGGTGGGTTGCCATGTCAAATCTGACCAGCCTCTCTCTAGGTAGACCTTTTAACTAGTTTACAGAGAGTTAATCCACATATTGGGGGATGGTACGTAAACACCTAGGAACACTGGAGATATCGCCAACATCTGGAGATACTCTTAGGCTCTGTGACCGAGAGTTGACCGGTCATAAAACTGGGAACAACACCATATGACTGCATTAGCACATTCCTTACGGGAGATAACAGACTCAGGGTTGGTGATAAACGTCAACAGGCAGAAAGGTTAAATATCTAGAAGTAAAGACAGAATTATTCTCTAACAAGTAGTGATACCACAGTGTAGAAATACTCAAACTGTCCTCTTTATGTACAAATATTTGGACATTTTTACTATATTTATGCTTTTCCGGATATAAACCCAGCAGAAAAGACTTTTGGTCCAGTAAAGTCTGCTTGAAAGGATCTTCTTTGTTGTACCTCTCACATTTGAATCTAAACATATCATATTTACTACTTGAGCATTAATTCTGATCCTTTTTAACTCCATGTTCCATCAACTTAATTCCAATAGTCGAGTAATATCCCTATTGAAAGAAAAATACATGGTCAGTTATGTTGTTTTAGGGAGACATATTATCTCCTGGATTGCTTAAGGAATAAGTAACTGTTGACCAGAGGTGGAAGAAGTAGCCAGAGATTTTACAGAAGTAAAAGTAGTGATGCCACAGTGTAGAAATACTCTCCCTGCTCTACTACTCTTTACATTACATTACATTACATTACATTACATTGCATTTAGCTGACGCTTTTATCCAAAGCGACTTACAATAAGTACATTCGACCAGGAAGACACAACCTTGAAGAAAACAGAATCATATAAGTACATCAGGTTTCATAGAGCCAAACATTTCAAGTGCTACTCAACTGGCTTTAGGTAAGCCAGTCCTTTATTAGTATATAAGTGCTTTGTTAATAATTCTATCGCTCGAAGTGGAGTCGAAAGAGATGAGTTTTCAGTCTGCGCCGGAAGATGTGCAAGCTATCTGCCGTCCTGATGTCAATGGGGAGCTCATTCCACCATTTTGGAGCCAGGATAGCAAACCCACTTGTTTTTGCTGATGGGAACTTGGGTCCCCCTCGCAGCGAGGGTGCAGTGAGTCGTTTGGCTGATGCAGAGCGTAGTGCACGTGCTGGGGTGTACGGTTTAACCATGTCCTGGATGTACGAAGGGCCAGATCCATTCGCAGCATGGTAAGCAAGTACTATTGTCTTGAAGTGGATTCTAGCAGTTACCGGAAGCCAGTGAAGGGAGCGGAGGAGCGGAGTGGTGTGGGAGAATTTAGGAAGGTTGAAGACCAGACGAGCCGCTGCATTCTGGGTGAGCTGCAGAGGTCGGATGGCACATGCAGGTAGACCAGCCAGGAGGGAGTTGCAGTAGTCTAGGCGTGAGATGACGTAAAAGTCCTGCATTCATTAACTCAATTATTTGAAGTCAGTGTCTTTAATTCAATATTTACTCCACCCACAGAGTTTCTGATCCAGTACGAGGATCTGCTCCACCAGCCGGGGGTGTGGATCAACATGACGGATGCTTCTGGGACGAGCACCACGGCGCAGTTGAAGCTCTCTCCGTACGTCTACTACTCGTTCAGAGTGCTGGGTATGAACCGCGTGGGCTACAGCCAGCCCAGCCAGCCCTCCAGCCAGTACAGGACCACCCCTGCAGGTGAATGACACAACAAATTATCTGCTATATTTAAATATTCAAAAATATCCATAAATCAATCTATATTTGTTTTTGTTTTTCTAGCTCCTGATGACAATCCATCAGATGTGAGTGGAGTAGGGACACAGCCTGGGAATTTAGTCATATCCTGGACGGTAAGATTGCTTTTATGACAAAAAACAAACATTTCACGACTTTTTTTTTAGGCAAATGACAACATATTTCTCTCCACAGCCGCTGACCGGATTCCAGGCTAACGGGCCCAACTTAGAGTACAGAGTTCAGTGGAGAGCGAAGGACGTGGACGAGGATTGGAGCTCGAAGAACGTGGCCAACGTTTCCCAGTTTGTCGTGACTGGAACTCCCATCTACGTGCCGTACGAGGTCAAGGTTCAAGCGTTGAACGATTATGGCACCGCCTCCGAGCCCGAGGCAGTGTTTGGATACTCTGGAGAAGACTGTGAGTGAACACATATTCAATGGTGATATTAAATATTTTCCTGAGTCAACACCCTTTATGTTTCTCAGGGTTTTTGTTGTTGTTGTTGTTGTTGAACCAATGAGTTTTGCTTGGACTTCGAGCCTTTTTTTCCAAAACAATGCAATACAGGTTATGGCGTGGATCAAGATGAGATCTAAACATCTTTGTACATTTTTACTATATACAGTATATGCTTCTCGGGATATAAACCCAGCCGAAAAGACATGCCCAGTAAAGTATGCTTGCAATGATGCTTCTTTGTTGTACCTCTCACATCTTAATCTCATATTTACTCCTCTTGAACATTGACTCTGATCCTTTAGCTCCATGTTCCATAAACGTCATGCTAATAGTTGATTGACTTTAAACTGAATCGTCCTCCTCTCTGCAGTGCCTCTGTCTGCTCCTGACAGTGTGCAGGTCATGGTACACAACAGCACTCTGGCGGAAGTGCACTGGGAGCCTGTCTCCTCCCCCTCTGTCAGAGGTAAACTGCAGGGATACAAGGTACTGTTTTTACCTTTCATAAATGATTCATTGCCTGTATATTCACAAAATAGATGACGATTTAAAGATGACCAAATTAGGCATAAACGCATATTGGTTAGCCTCATAGTAGGGCTGCTCAATTAATCGTCTTTTAATCGCGATTAAGATTATGGCTTGCAACGATTACGAAAACAACGTAATCGAAATAAAACGATTATTTTTTTATTGTTATTATTACTTTTTTCTTTTAAATAATTTTTCTTTTTTTTGGTTTTTCAGTTGAATTATACTTAAAGTTCAGGGTAATCAACTAATTAAAACATACTGTTCATATCATTTGTCTCCAATAAATGGATGGTTTCAAAGTCAATGAATAATCGCATTTAATAATCGCAATTACGATTATTGAGTCAAATAATCGAGATTATGATTTTTGCCATAATCGAGCAGCCGTACCTCATAGGATGTTGCACCACAGGAATGGTAACCGTTAATTAGATTCCCATAAAACAGTGTTTCTCAAACTTTTTCATACCAAGGACCACTTAACCAATAAAAAAAACTCCACAAATATCCAAAAAACACATCGTTTTTCTAGAACAGATTACAAATCGCCTGAAAATGGTACAAACAGGTGACGAAGGTGTTGCGCTGGGCTATATCATGCAATCGAAAATGAAACTTAAGCTCGCTCCATTGCGGAGATATTCCCGCGAGAGTGCGGAAAACTTAAATTAACTTATTTAAAATGTGAAATGTTACCAATGTACTCACGGACCACTAGGGGGCGCTCACGGACCACCAGTGGTCCTCGGACCACACTTTGAGAAGCACTGCCATAAAAGAACATATTCATTTATTTTAAAGGGAACCAAATACATTGAAGTGATCTGTGCTTTATTTGTTCCGTTTTTTTAAATTATGAAGCCCTTTAGCCAAACTTGAATGAGCAGATAACAGGTCTTGGAAGTTCATAGAGGAAGTTTTAAGACTCTATCAAGACAGTTGTTTTCATTCTAAGCATATCTGGACTGGTCCCCTAACCGTGTTGATGAGACAAAAACTACAAATCAAGCTAAGACGAATGAACTCCTCATGTGTTTCCTGCAGGTTTACTACCGGCGGGAGCGCGGCTTTCACGACACAGAGGAGGCTGCAGAGCAGAGCGAGCAGGTCCTGACGTTCAGTGGGAATCGAAGCGAGGGACGTCTGCCGGGCCTGCAGCCCTACAGCCTCTACAACCTCACCATCAGGGTCCTCAACAGCAAAGGAGAAGGGCCTCCGAGCCCCAGCAAGAAGTTTGAGACCCCTGAAGGAGGTGTGTAAAACCTCACATTACAACCTAGTAATTGTGTGTTCAGAAATCAGAATCAGAAACGGGTTTATTGCCAGGTAGGTTGACACGTACGAGGAATTTGACTTGGTGTCGTGGTGCATACATAAAAGTAAAAAAAACAAAAACACAGATGGCTAACTATTTTAAGATCACTATAATAACATTACAGAAAAATAAGAACAAATATATTAAAATAGAAAATAAAAAAGCAGTAATTTACATTGAAATAGAATGCAATGAAATATGTGCACTAAACAAACCAGATATTATATATATTATAACCAGATAATGCTACATAACCACCATCTTGCCTTCTTGTGTTGAATATAAATGCTAATGAGTGGTCAGCATCCAGACCCTGACTGTTGTTCTGTTCATGTTTTCAGTCCCGGGGCCTCCATCTTTTCTGAATGTCGTTAACCCCAGTTTGGACTCTCTCACTCTGGAATGGGGCCCACCGATGAACAACAATGGACGCCTCGCTGGATTCACACTGAAATACCAACCAGGTAGGCTCTCCAGCTACCAGACAAAAAAAAAATGATGCCTTGTTTATTCTTTCCATTTATTCCTAACAATATGGCTCCTGTGACTCTGTGTCTGCAGTCAACACCACGAAGGAGCTGGGGCCGGTGAAGAGCATGTCTTTCCCAGCCAACGAGACCAGTATCACCCTGGGCAACCTGAACTCCAGCATGCTCTACAAGTTCTACCTAAGCGCAAAGACAATCAAAGGCTCTGGCCCCATCATCACAGAGGAGGCCTTCACTGTCATGGACACAAGTGAGTTATTTATAGTTTCATCTGTGGCAGATAACAGGAAGAGGTCAATGTCCTGAATCAGTGGTGTGCTGTTTTCCTATCAACTTTTGTCCTACATAGTGTAAAATATCATTTTAAGCAAACGTTATTCGGCCCTATTACAAGTATTGCTCTTATTTTGGGAAATGTATTACTAATAGACCTCATTTACACACAATAAAACTAAATTTCCCAATTGAAAAAGGCACAAATATATCATTATTTAATCATTTGACCCCAGAAGATCACATTTTTCATGCATTTGAATGAAACCCAAACCTAATGGAAGTGATCATAATTCTCTTCTCATGAAAAACATAGTCTACAGGCACACAAGTTATTTTTCTGGCACTACAAACCTATAAAAACATTTGGAAACGGGTCAAACTTTACTCGAGGACAACAGGAAGGTTAAGGAAACAAAGTGTATGGGTAAACGCCACAGTGCTCTGACTGATATCAAGGCTACCTGTGAGCTTAAACGCACAAGCATCCTACTGCTTTTCACACCTTTCTTTCTCTTTTTCTCTCTGAAGCTCGTACTCAGCCCACTGTAGAGACAGGCAAAGGTAACCCGAGTTTACCACTGGAAGCACCTGCATGTTATTCACACCACCGAAAACCAGCATAGCATAGTCTTTAGTTAAATTACCCATGCATGGTACTTATAATAGCATGAATAAATAGGACTAGTGTGACAGACTTCCATGGCATCTGTAAGCAAACCATGCTTGTGTCCGGTTCTGAGATATCATAGGTTAAAATCATAGAATGTATAAAATACCCATTTCTTTTAAGCTAGTTTTTGTTATGCTTGCAGTTCAATCGAACATGATTTAATCGGAAGCCTCACGCATGACGCTTGTGAATGCCTCAACACAGTACTAACACATTATTTACCTGTTAATGCTACAAACGGAGCATTTTTTATATAAAATACAAGCATTTGATTAAGAGTATATGCATGCTGCAGTGCGTAACCCCCCTCGAAATCTCAAATGTAAGGAGGTTTTGCACCAGGTTTTAACTCGGCATGTCAGTAGCAACTTCTCCCTGAAATCAGTGCCTCTACAGTTCACTCTCTGCTGTTTCCTGTGTTCTGTATGTGTGTTGTCTCACTCTTTTCAATGTTCTTTCAGGCCCTACAGAGCCCCCTCACCCAACCTCCCCCATCACTCAGTCTCCGCCTCCCCTGTTTCACAAGGGTATAAAAGCATATATATATAAGCACTCCCTGTATCCCCTTCTACCTCCCCAAATACCTTCACATTATTCTGCGAAAAATGGTCGATCTCAGCAAAAGAAAGCCTTTAAAATATTAGTTTGATTAAGAAAAGGAAGTGGATCTAAGTGATTTCTGTTGGATCTTTCTCTGACTGGTTCTTGTTTGACTTGTTCTAGGAGGATTAAAATAAGTCCTCGGTGAGATGGCCATTTTGTGCAGCTAACACTGAACTGTTTCGATGTTTCGGCAGGATGTAAAACTGCAATCTGTTATTTTATCAATTAACTTTGGGCTATATGTGAAAACCCTATGAGATCTGACCAAAGTGAGCGACAATTTCACTTTCTTTTGATCAGATCTCAAGAAATATTTCACATGTGTCACTAATCCTAGTCCACAGTGTTGTCGTGTATTGTATATTGCAACTTTTTTCTACCACATGACTGTAAATTGAGTCTCTGGTCAGTCATACAGTTTAAAAAACCCTAAACCTAAGAGTATAGATGGAGTTTATTTTTATTTCTTGATTAACTATACTGCTGGTAGGCCTCAGGTTACAGTAGCAGCTTTATGCTAAATACTGGCATATTGGATCTATTTTTTTTTTTTAAATGTTATTTCTACTTGCTCCTTTCCTCAATAGCAGTTTAATTTCATAGTAAAGGTTTTGTAAAATTGGTACATTTATCATTTAAATTACAACTTTCTCTCTCTCTCTTGTGTGCTCAGCGCCGCCTGTCGGCCCTGCGTTCGGCAATGTTAACACGTCTATGTCGGAGGACGGTGCGGTGATCAGTTGGGATTACTTTGGACACCATAAGAATGTTTATGTGGAATATATTGTAGAAAACAGTAAGGCTTTCGCTTTATATCTCAAAACACGAGTGAATGCGTTAAACGGCTGTATTATAACATAATCAGTCGTTTAAATGCCACCATTAAAATAATTCTTCTTCTTCTTCCTCTTGAATCCGATTCCTCTCCATCTGCTTCACCGACCTCAGGTAAAGACGACTGGAAAAAGGAGTTGGTAAACGGCTCCCACTGGCATATGATAAAGGGGTTAAAGCCGGGGACGTCTTATAAGGTGCGAGTGGTCGCTAGAGACCCCTCCGACCCGACGGTCCACAGCACAGACGAGGTGCTGGTGGCGGTGCCAGGTGAGGCGGCATGCCTCCGATCCACAATCGTTGTGTTATCATTTAAATAAAATGTTTCCATCCATCTTTCCGTTCTCAGTATCCGACATTCCACTCCATCCGTTAGTTTGTTAGTGTACAAGCACGTCCGAAGTCGTACTGATCCATTAAAATCACCACTAAACACCAATTATTTTACTTTTGTTGTCGTTATTAAAGGCCTAATCATTGCATATTAACCCATTTTTAATTTTGATTTCTTCCTTTACAGCTTTAAATGTTGCTCCGCATGAAAAAAACTGGTTCCACAATTTTTAGCAGCCATGATTACAATTTGGACTGACAGCCCTGCTTCCTGTTTGTGTGTGTGTGTGTGTGTGTGTGTGTGTGTGTGTGTGTGTGTGTGTGTGTGTGTGTGTGTGTGTGTGTGTGTGTGTGTGTGTGTGTGTGTGTGTGTGTGTGTGTGTGTGTGTGTGTGTGTGTGTGTGTGTGTGTGTGTGTGTGTGTGTGTGTGTGTGTGTGTGTGTGTGTGTGTGTGTGTGTAGCTGTACCCAGTCGTCAGGTAGACATTGCCACCCAGGGCTGGTTCATTGGCCTGATGTGTGCCATCGCCCTCCTCATCTTGGTCCTGCTCATCGTGTGCTTCATCAAGAGGAACAAGGGTGGCAAATATCCAGGTAATGCTCACTTTATGTACTGTAACGTCAAGCGTATTGATATTGATGATGCAAATTAGTTTAAAAAAAGCCCTATCTCTTACAATTACCTATATAAGAAATGGATGTATGCACTTATTGTGAAGTTAAAACTTCTTTGCAGCAATGTTGAGCCAATCATGAAATGAGTGAAACTGGATTCGCCTGTCAATACACTGATATTTATTGAGAGCCTCAGCGGCCGGAGAGTTCACAGCATATCACAGTTCTCCTGTAAGATACCAGCAAACTCTGAACTCTAAAAGCGCCAAGCACCCCTCTATACAAAGAGAAGAGGAGGGCCCTAAAACACGCGGGTTTTCCTTTAATGCATGCCAGATGTCGAGACAAAGACTCGTTGCATTGTAAACCCACATGAGCCAAGCTTCTCCCCCACAAGACATCAGATGACCTCTTGACCTGTGTCTTCCTGAGAAGCTATGGATCACATTACAGGCAGGAATACACTTCAACCATTAAACAGATTCCCGAGGACAAATCACTAAACTCTATATACTTTAACAAGACCAAAATATTCCTTTACACTTATGAGATAAAGTCATCAAACATGTGTGTAATCTGCAGTGAAAGAGAAAGAAGACGCTCACCAAGACCCAGAGATCCAGCCTATGAAGGAGGATGATGGAACATTTGGAGAGTACAGGTGAGGAGTGGAAAGAAAACACTGAAATACAGCGAAGATGTTCATTCATTGAGACCTGACTGTTTGCATAAAGAACATTTCCCCAGCTACAAGAACACTGTTCCTACCAGACTCCATTAATAAACACTCCATAGAGCAGGACATTTCTGAGCACTATTGTGTTCTTTTTTGACTTTATGGCTTTATGCAATGGAAAATATGTCCAATAATTCAACTGCTTAATACTTGTGACACCGTTTCAGGTTTTTCATCACTTGTTCAAGTTTTTCTAGGAATTCTATGAGTTTTATGACACAACCCTTGAGCTTTACAGGGACAATTTTGACTTTATTACAACCTCAACTGCTTAAAGTCTATAATAAACTGTGTAGCCAAAACACAACACACTCAGACCAGAGACTGAGCCTGAGAATCAGCAGAATATGTCCTCTTTAACTTGTCGTGGTGTCATTGTGCTTTAAATGTTCCCATACGCAAGCTTATGTCTTGTCTGTTCATAAAACAGATGCTCATTGTGGCTTATGAATTGCTTTTCATGTGTCCTTCCATTCTTATCTCTGTTTTGTTGCCGGGTTTAGGTCTATGGAGAGGTAAGGCGAGATGTGGTAAAACAAGCATGCATAAAACCTCAAGCAATGTGACTAAAAGCAACCGATCAGTTTTACTATGTCATCATACTGACGTATAGTCAACATCATAACCACAGTTATAACATTAACACTCAACATGAAGAAATACTGCTTCTACTTCCCTAGTTCCTTCCATTTAATACATTTCATACAAATGCATTGAGCTTTAACATGAAGTTGATATATATCATAGATTTGAGATTGTAGAGCTTGCCTAGTATTAACTAAAAAGGGATGTTTTTAGATCAAATTAAACTAGGTTTTATCTTTTGGGGGAGGACTGAAAAATAAGTGCATTTTGGATGATTGCATGTCAACTGAAAGCATATTGGTTGATTTGAAGGTAAAGTATTGCAAGAGACTGAACGGCACGCTTTTGGAAAATCCTCTCTAGCAGTGGTCACCAACTCTAACCCAGACTGAAAGCAGCACTAACACTATAGTGTGTAGATAATACCATAGACGTAGCTGAGCTGCTCCACTGTACAAGCTCCATGCAGAGTGATGTTCCAGGACATTGTTACTGTACAATATAGTAAGCCTTTAGTTAGAGTTTATTCAACTTAAAGGGAACATATTCCACCTTTTTATATTGAATCAGTTAAAATTAAAGCTATGAATTCCTTATTTCATTGATGTTGCACATTTGTAGCAAACTGTGCACACAACAGCAATATATATTCCTTATGTCATACAGTAAATGGGATATTTGTGCAGTGGAGAAGCCAGATTACTCTTTGTGGCATCAGGGTTTCTGACCACTGCAGAAAGATCAACAATCTTCCACAAATGATCTTCTCAATAACCTTCCTTCCATCTCTTTCGCAGCGACACGGAGGACCACAAGCCGCTGAAGGGCAGCCGGACGCCGTCCAACGGGACGGTGCGCCGCGACGAGAGCGACGACAGCCTGGTGGACTACGGGGAGGGCGGGGACGGACAGTTCAACGAGGACGGATCCTTCATCGGCCAGTACAGCGGCAAGAAAGAGAAAAGACACACACGAAGGGAACGAGGAGTTCGGAGGCCCCGTCGCCCGTCAACGCCATGAACTTCCTTCGTCTAACCGAGGGCCCCCGAGGCTGAGATACACCTTGTCACCTTGGCAAATGTGACCATCCCTGTGGTGACAGTTGCTAAGGTGACAGTCCACGGTGGCGGGCACTCCGGTGGCTTCCTGTCACCAACACTGCTGGCACGCCCTCATCATCACCACCCCCCCCCCCCCTCCACCAGCCCCTGTCTGTCACACTGTGACCTCCTCCGATCTACACACACTGAACAAGGCAAACACATCCCCCATGATAAGCGTCAAAAGAAGGTGTGAAGCGAGGGATGTGAGGACTCAGAGAGGAGGGAAGGAGAGGAGGAAGCAATATAGAAAAGCAGAAGGAATGTACCAGAGACTCGGCAGAAGTGTGTGTGTGTTAGTGCCATTTCCTTTGCAAACACGATGTATCCAAATATATATTTTATCAAAGTACACTACATTACCCGCAGGCAGGCAACGAATCAAAACATCTGCATGGAGTAAATCATGATTCAATTAAGCATTTCCACCCCCCCCCCCCCTTATGCCGAGGTGATCCGCTTGTTGAGACCGTATATGGTGCACGCCTACTAGCGACTGGGTATTATTGTTTTGTTTCTTCAGTCAAAGTGTTAAATGGCGTTTAATATAAAGAGAAAAAACGGCGGCGTTGTCTGACAGCGCTGCGGAACAGTGTGACACTAAGTAGCTAGTCTTTTTGAGACGGATGAACTGTTTGTAAATATGTAATAGTATAAGAAGAAAACTATATTTCAAAGTCAGGGTTGTCCATTTGTATTCATTGGAAACCTGGCTCCAACACTTCGGTCACCAGCCAGACAACTAGAACTCCCACACTTATTCCCGCTTTCAGCCTCATGATTTTCAAAGTTCGCTTGCTTTTGTTTCCTCTTCCAATCTGTTTCTTTGCACCTATGCTATACTGAGCACTCGTTGAACACAAGCCGAGCTGTGATTGGCCCAGTTTCATGTCAAGTGCTTCCACCCCTCTAATCTTGGTACTGTCAGAGATACCCCAACACTTTCCCGATAGCTTTTCCACTTCTGTAATGGCAGAGAAAAGGACGCAGTTACATATGATAAATGCACCTGAACAGGGTTGAGTGGTGCGCACTTTGGGACGTTTAGATTTTGAGAACCTCTCAGCACGGTTTCTAGTGCCTTCGTAGATCCATAGAGTTACATCACTCTCCATACACCGCACCGACCTGGGATCAGTAGTGTTCTGAGGAGTCCATGAATACTTTGCATACACAATACTACCCCACTTGAAATGCAACTTTGAAATAAAATGCTTATTACATCCACTACTCAACGAGTAAAGAAGTCCATGTGGGCTGCAAGCTACGGTGGCCTACCAGTGCCAACGCGCTACAACGACCCAAAACACTTGCATTAGGAGAAATGTGCTACGGCTTCAAAAGCAATGCACATATTAAAACCCAAATATGCCAAAACACATGTAAATGAAGAAACGTCTTCTGAAACTTGACAACGTTTAACAGAATTTAGAACACGTTCACCATCTTGATGAAACATGCGCAGCGTTTATTAAAAGCGCTGCTGCATATACAAAACGCTTCAAGAAGCTCTAGACACAACGGAAATGGGGACTGTTTTTATCCAAAGCGACTTACATACTCAATACTGTGGACAATCCCCACAGGAGTAATTTGGGGTGAAGTGTCCCAGGGACACAACGACATGCTGACTGCAGTGGGGTTTGAACCTGATCCAAACACCAACTCACAACCCACTGCACCACACGCCTTCTCATAATTGTAAGTGTTTTGTCAGTATATTTGAAATGACTACATTAGCTACGTTAGCTATCTAGCTTACAGTAAACCGACAATAATATTGGAAAGGAATCATGAGATCGAATTGTTAAAATAAGCCGATAAAACTCATGTTTCAGGTACGTGTCCAACATCCGTGACAGTTTTTGAAACTTCAGTGTGTTTCTCCTAATGGAAGTGTTTTGGGCCACCGTAGGAACTATTTAAAAAGGGCATAGTGGAGAATATCATTAAATAGATTTGACCACATAATTCAAATTCGATATTGTGACGATATCATAAGCTATTGGTGCTTTTACAAAATATTGACCCAATTGGATTCTACTTTTCTGTAATGCAGCCTTTGAAACACTTCTGACACCATATTATCTCTTACATCTCAATATAATATTTAAAAAGTGACGGTCGTACACTGGCATTAGTTGCAAGGAATAATTTTCAGCTACAGATTATTATGATCTTGTTGACAATCAAACACCCTTATCGTACCGCCAAATCACACCATGCAGCTTGGAATTTAAGGAAATGTCAGAAATAATAAAATGAAGCAGAGTCAGATCATGGACACCTCATGAGAAGTCGTCATGTATCCAACATCCTCTTCATGTCGCTCCAACAGCACTGAACTACTGCCAACACACTCACCAGGTAACTGCCAAAAAGGAAGCAGACTTCTCTTAAGAGCGGGGCGAACTGTCACTGGTAGCACTTAGAAAACGCAGGGGTGGGGGAAATGATGCTGAATGTGGAAACAAGTGTATGTGTTTATATGAATGAAAATATTGCTTGTTACACTGCAACACACTGGTGACTGGTTCATGCATTTAACCGTATATCTGTGTATGTCGTCACGTTCTGAGCGCAGCACTCGGTGAGTTTTTCTATTCCTGTAAATTAATGTGTGAATGCTTGAGTGCACGAATGTGTGTGTGTGTGTGTGTGTGTGTGTGTGTGTGTGTGTGTGTGTGTGTGTGTGTGTGTGTGTGTGTGTGTGTGTGTGTGTGCGCGTGCGTGTGTGTGTGTGTGTGTAGCACATGCATGCTACTGTGTTAGGCGTGCGTGATGTATAATATCGCTTTTCCATGGATGATGGTCTATTATTCTGATGTCTACTCTCAACAAGAAATCCAAGAGCTTTTTTTTTTTCTCCACATTTTCACTTCTTAGGTTAATCATAACTTGCATCAAGTTTTTACGATGTGTCAGCTTTCCTCGTGTAGATATTTCTGTTGTATCTTGTAAATAACGGTTTGACTTGAGAGTGGACTAGTTGAGGTCAAAAGTGAGAGCTTGACCTCAATCTGCCCTGTTGCATTATGGGTTAGGAGGGCGTTGTGTGAAACAAGACCATTTACAGTTTTCACCCTTTCTTTTGCTGTGAAATTTATTTTAGTTTATTCACTTTTATTTGAACTTGTCAGGTGAATTTGCAAATGTTTAGCCTATCAGGTATCAAAAGGAGATTATTTAACTTGTGACTGAGCTCTTGTGGCACCTGTATTGTTTCTGTCTCAGACAGTTCATGCACCTTTTCTGTATTTTTTATAAAAAGGCACTCGCTTAAACAGGATGTGACATTTCGAACACATCTGAGCATCTAGTTTACGATGCTGGAAAACTGTCGTTCCAAATCACACAACATCCTTTTTAAGAGTGTGCATTTAAAAAAACAAAAAACAAAACTGTGATATGAGGGAGGACGTGTATGCGGACCGGCACATTGGAGTGTGAATCCCCATGGAAACAATGTTCTAGTGACTGGTGGACATACAGTAGGATATACAGTATATGATATAATATGACATTCTGGTTAATGTTGAAGCTACATGAGAAGCATGAAAGGCTGTCGAAATGGTTTACTCAACAGTATAATATTGCAAAATATTTTGTATTTTAAATGAACTTTAAAAAAAATGAAATAAATGTTGGTTTCAGGATTTCAAATCTGCTTTTCTTTTAGGGTCATGCATGCAGCACAACATGTAAAAATGTGTGTGTGTGTGTGTGTGTGTGTGTGTGTGTGTGTGTGTGTGTGTGTGTGTGTGTGTGTGTGTGTGTGTGTGTGTGTGTGTGTGTGTGTGTGTGTGTGTGTGTGTGTGTGTGTGTGTGTGTGTGTGTGTGTGTGTGTGTGTGCGTGTGCGTGTAGCTGTACCAATTAGGTAGACAGTGCCACCCAGGTGTGTGTAGCACCTCCTGGTGCACAAAAGTGAGAATGATGCTTGAGTGATTTTATCTGAAAAAAAACCCAGAGATAAACCAGCGAAAATTAATCCCTGGATTAATTTAGATCTGGCGTATGGGTGCATGTCTTCCATTGTCAAACAGAATATAGCTTTACACCATTACAGTGTGGTTTACTTCCAAAAGTACGACCAATAACATTTGCAAACACGTCTGTTATTTGCTTATATAGTTTTTCCAGCAAATAATTATTCATTCATGATCTTAATAAATTGGAAATATGACAGTTAAGGATTGTAAATCAAAGTGAATGATTCAAATAATTATTAAATCGCATTATTAACAAAAGTGTGAATTTGATTATTTGTCCTCTTCCTTCTTCTTCCTCTTCTTCTTCTTCTTCACAATGTGGCTGTTATGTGGAAAAGGCAGTCACTGATATTACTGGTGTTGAATGTGCCATAAATAATAAATTGGTCTGGAGGTCATTTATGATGCACAGCACGCGGTGGGGAGTGAAATATGGTTTCCATGAAGCATCCTTTTCTCTGGTATTTTCATCCATTAAAAAAAACAGCAGTCAATTTACAGGTACTCAAATTAGGGGGTTAGATACTTACTTAACCAAAAGAAGAAGAAATAATAGTCATAATAATAAAAAAATAACATTCTGTTACTGTGACTTAAATGTGTGTGATTGCCCAGTTTTTAGGAGGAATATGTTACATTTGGTATTTGTGTGCATATTAAGGGGTGAAAAAAATAGTGATAATATATTCAAATCTGTACTTTTATATTTTTCCGAAGCATACTCTTAATATGCCTTATTTAGTTATTTTGAGTGTGCAAAGACTAGCACTTCCTGTTGTGGTATTAAAGCAATCCAATAATATTCTATGATGTGCACATTGAACCTAAATGGGTTTCCATGAGGGGATTTAGTGCATGTATGCGCAGCAGCATGACGCCCGCATCCCTCCCATCCTCCCTCCTCTCCGCAGTGGACCAATCACAGCCTCGCTCTCGCTGCCACGCAGAGCTGTCACTCAGTAGCTTTCCTCCTATAGAAAAGTTCGATCTGAACGGGACAGCTCCGGCGGGTGGGCAGCGGTTCGGGATCCAGGTGTGCCATAAGACCGAGAACTGAGATTTCCCATTCTGCCTCAAAGGTAAGGAAACGACACCTCATGCGAGAGTGCGTGCATGACCTAAAACTGGCTCTCGTGTCCGGGCTGAGTGGGGATAAAGTGGGATGTGAGGGGTGACATGGACCAGCTCAGGAGTACCGCAATGCAGAGCAGAGCATCACCGGTGCCGCTCACTCGCCATTAGGCTGAAGTGATTTAAGCAGCTGCGCAGATACTTGTACAGGCCGAATGACTGTGCTGTTTGATCAGAGGTTGCTTTCGCTTCCCAAATGTATGTTTATGCAGAGGCAAGGTGAAAGTGTGCACACTTAATGCGTCAAGGGCGCAGAGAGATGCATGTTTTTTTGGTAAAGGGCAAACTGTCCTTCAAGGGCAGTTTTAGGGGACAACTCCCTTAAAAATCTGTTTTAATATTGTTTCCTGTACTGTGTTTGCATAAAAGCTGCAGCTATTTAGTTATAAAAGATCATTAAGGTAGATATTATTGAAACTGCAAATAATGATTTAGATGCATATGTAATGTGTCTTCCCCCTGTCCTATGGACCATAACAGAAACAATGCAACATGTATAGGAGTCCAAAAATAATATAGCCACCCCCCTCCTTTTTTTAAATGTCAAAAAGATTCATCAAACTGTCATGGCTGCATCAGAGGAAATGTCTCCCATCACATCTTCAGCAGTGCTTACGCTTTTCACCACTTCAATCAACTAGCCCCAAACCTAGAAAACTCAGATTAAAAATGCATGGGGTATGCTTTTGTTGAATCCAAACGTGACTTTGAATGTGATTTTGAGTGCGGCCATCAAACCCTCATAACATTGTTGTTCAGGCGGTCACTGAGACACTGCTTAATACATGAGCTGACCTACATTTCTCCAGTCTGTCCAAAGAGGATCTGTGATGGGATTATCTCCGGGAAAACGCATGAAAACACACTCTGATCAATTGATTAGAGTTAGTGGTGGAACAGATTGCTGCTAAGAAGCAAAAGCTGTATATAAAAGTGTCATTTGCACGATTAATTTTTAAAATATATATTGACCTGCAATACTGTCTCACGGCTGGTATGCTGGTATCATAGTGTCGAGTCATCACTTTAGGAGTCAGTGCTGCAGTGTGTGTGGATGTGTGTACATTTGGTACTCTCTGGTTGAGGCAGACATGGCAGCTGAGGCTCATGGGAAGTCTGTCTGTGCCTTCTCATTCTGTTTCTCACATCCTCAATGACTCAGCAACTGTGAGGGTGTCTACCATAGCTAACTAATGTGGGATGCACATGCTACTGTAGATGCTAACAATGGTTAGCTCAAAAACTTCCTTGTTCTGGAAATTGATGCTAACATTTAGCTCAAGGAGCCATGGTTAGCAGGAATTCATCCATTCATAAAGTATAATTGAACTGTGTCTGTATGTACAACTGATTGTACTGTAGGAATACATGAAATTATTAGCTGTTTTTTTGTTTTATGTTTGACTGTATGTGTGCGGACCCCAGAAAGAATAGCCAATGCTACTGTAATGCCAGTGCCAATGGGGATCGTAATAAATAAAGAAAGAAACACAGCTTTTCACAAGTATGTTTTGTTTCTTTAATATAATAATAATGGCCCAAAGTGAAGCTGTTTTTCTCTCTTCAGTGTCCATGATCAACCTTAACCTCTGACTTTGTTGGAAGATTATTTTAAGCTGAATGTTAAGCGCAAAGGTTTAGTCCCAAGTTCAATTCATCAGAATTCTATCAAAGTCAAAACTGACGAGTTAAATATCCATATTAAATATCTATATTGCAGGAGGTGTTCTCTGTTGACACCATGGTTGACACGTGTGAAAAGCAGCTGAAAACACTTTTATGTAAACTAGCGTTTGTCTCGACTCATTGGGTTTGTAATTTTGGTGTTGTTCTCTGACAGATTCAATTAAATGTACTTAACTAAAGGCAAAATATGTGTCAAAATACTATTGTGAAGTTACATACATGTAGCTTTTGTAGGGAACATTGTTATTGTACACTACACCCAATTATCTTGTTTTGATCCCTTGACCTCATTCAACACATTTGACTTGCCTGCATTTATATATACTATCTGGGAATCAGTGTCGATTTGATAGAAATCTCGGCCAGGTGAAGTTGTTGTTGTTAAAGTCCTAGCTGAGTGGCATGATTTTTTATATTTTGTCAAATCAAGACCAAGTCATGTGACTCGGGTCCATACCTCTGCCCATCCTGCTGGATCTGTGCCTAATTGAAACTGCACTGTATTTGATAGCATTAAACCATGCCCCCCCCCCCCCAGATGTTAAGCTCCTAAACATGTGGATCATCCTGCTTTCTACCTCCATATTCCTCCCCCCACCTCCTACAGTATGTCTCTAAATACCTCTCCCTGTGCCGCTGTCTGACAGAGAGACTGAAACACTGCAGTCGCTCTCAGCAGCGCTGCTGTTCCATCCTGCAGAAGTGATGTGTAAGCATGTGTGACGCAGCAGCAGGACCTGTCTACGTACTGCAGTGTTCCCCTGCGTGTTGTTCGCCACACACACACACACACACACACACACACACACACACACACACACACACACACACACACACACACACACACACACACACACACACAGGCCTTTGTGTCTCTGCATGTGCTTGTGCAGTATTCTGCTGAGTCACTCACATGCTTAATCATTTATATGCAGCGGGGAAGATTCCATCTGCAGTGTTTCTGGAGTGGAAAATCCTGCACAGTCATCAGTGTGGTGTTATATCTCAGAGTGTTTTCATGATAAATTGTTTCTGACAGCTTAAAATATTTTCTTTGTGTCTCCTCAGCCCTCTCCAGTTCATGCCCTGTCCATCTTCTTCTTCTTTGCGTCCCTCTGCTCATCCTCCTAAATCACGCTGCTGCATTAAGTCTGGTTGTTGACCGTCATGGCTGCCGCTGCCGCTGTTCTACTCCTGGCTCTCTCCTCATCAGTCTCCCTCACAGGTAGGAAAATGAACCCCCTTAAGAATCAGAATCAGAATACCTTTATTTGTGCCACAGAGCAAGTGTTGGTTTGCTGACGTGACTTCTGTATCTCTTGCTTTGCAGTGGCGGTACTTTTTAACGAGCCTAGAATTTACGGAGGTGAGTTTCGTGGAGTAATTGCACATACGTTTCAGGATGACTTTTAAATCAGAGTGTCAGCTCATTGGTTATGTACACTTTGTCAGATGATGCTACTGGATACGGCCCCATCTTTGAGGAGGAGCCGGTGGACGTGGTGTACAGCGAGGACTCTCCTGACGGCAGGATCTCCATGAACTGCAGGGCCCGAGCAAACCCCCCTGCTTCATACAGGTTAAACACAATGAAGAATATGTACTGAACATACAGGATTAACAGTGTTTATACCACAAGTACTGGGTATGACACATGTGGGTCAATGTCTTTTGGACAATTATCTTGGATCACCCAAAATACATTCAATCAAGTAGAATTTCTATGCATTTTAAGAACTTCCGTTTTCTCCAACGTTATACTTACACTACAATATTTCATATGGAAATATTGTACCTTTTACAGCACTAACTCTAACTGTTGTCACGGCCACCATATATGAAGTCAGCCATTTAACATGTAAAAATTATCTGATCATAAAAATGAAAATCAAGATTTCTCATAAAATACCGTGAAAACATTAAAAAGCTCCCAACAATATGTAACACTTGTTCATTTTGCATAAAGAATACTTGTACCTAGAACTTTAATACAATATGGAGTTTTTTATCTTTCATAGACACTCTGGATATTATGCCTAACAGATCAGATGACTGAGTCCTTTTGGTTCATATTATTCTTATTGTAAGAATATTATTGCTTAAAGTTTTCCCTTATTATTATTACCAATTTATTTAGAATTATTTTAGTTTTGTGTGCTTAATTTTGTTTCTTACCTGAGGTCGAGGCAGGGTGGATGGGGGGTGGGATGTTTAAAATAGAAAACTGAAAGTGAGCATTATGTTTCTGTCCCTTTCTTATTCTGTAATTGTATATTTTAAAAAAAATACTTTGAATACTAATACTAATACTTGAAGCTAAAAAGTTATGTTGTGCACTTTCACTTAGGGAACTTTTTTGAGACTTGGACATCTAGCATTTTACATCGTAGCATTGCAATTTTACTTAATCGTCTCAACCTTTCTCCCCACCTGCTGCTAGGTGGCGCCGTGATAACTGGGAGATCAAGCTGATGGAGCAGCCGGATGAGCACTACAGCCTGGTGGGGGGGAACCTGGTGGTCACCAACCCCAGACAGAAGAAACACGCCGGGACATACATCTGCGTCGCCAGGAACATCTACGGCACCGTCATCAGCAAGGAGGCCAGGGTCAAGTTTGGATGTGAGCATGTTAAACATTGTTTATTATAAAGTATCTCCAATATAAAAACAAAACATAAGCTAAAGTGATTTCCGAATATTGCTGGGCCATTTAAAGAACATTAATGATTGTCATAATTAAGATTGAGATTAAGATTCAATTTATTGTCATTACGTAGTACAGGTACTATGTAATAAAACGGTTTCTCAGCATTTGACCCATCCTAGTGTTAGGAGCAGTGGGCTGCCATTATGAACGGAGCCCGGGGACTTTGTCCAGGATAATTTGATTTGATTTCGAACGTGTAAAACAATAATTACAAAAAATTAAATGAAACAAGAGAATTATGATACTGTACAAACTTAAGCAGAATCAAATTGATAAACAAACATATTATTGACTTACAAATGCTAAATAAACAAATGATCTACCTAATTACACATCCGAAAAGGAGTGGGAAGAAGTTTACACTGATTTAATCCCAACCCCAAAATGTACATCTAAATGTTTGTCTACAATTTATTGTCGTTACGTAGTACAGGTACTATGAAACAAAACAGTTCCTCTGCGTTTGACCCATCCTAGTGTTAAGAGCAGTGGGCTGCCATTATGTACGGCGCTTGGGGAGCAGTGTAGGGAACGGTGCCTTGCTCAGGGACAGCTCGGTAGCACTTGGTCTTCCCGGGACTTGCACTGGTGACCTTCCAGTTGCCAAGCCAAGTCCCTATGGACTTTGCCACCACCACCCGGTATACAATACATACAATATACATTTACAATCCTAAATAGATTATATCATTATTACTAATAATTGTATCGTCTGATTCCTTTTTATAATAATAATAATAATAAAGCTTTATTTATATAGCACTTTTCATACAACCTGTGCAGCTCAAAGTGCTTTACAAAATGGCGACACGTCTCAAGTTAAAAACAAACAAGAAATTCCCCTCAGATTATTTGTTAAGAACTTTAAAAGGTACATGCAACAAAATATAACATGTTATCAGGTTAATAGACACAAGGAGGTAAATGTATGATAATGAAAAAAAAAAAGGTTTCTCTCTGACAGAGAGTCGATGCAACAATATAAAATATAATATAAAATGAAAATGAAAAGATTAAAACCTATAAAATAAATAAAACAAGACTAAAATAACATTTAAAGTGGGGGGTTGCTAATAAAAAACACATAATTCCTTTTTGTTTTATTTCTCCTCATCTCTGTATCATGTAGTTGTGGAGGAGTTTCCCCAGGAGGAAAGAGACCCGGTTTATGTGAAGGAAGGACAGGGGGCCGTCCTGCTGTGTGTCCCCCCCAAAGCCTGGCCACGTACGTTCATTTCTTCATGCCTAAATTAGAAAAGCCAGTTTTCTGGAGATGAGGTACCAATAACAACCTCTGTGTTTCCCCTTCCAGAGGAGGTGACCTACCGCTGGATCTTCAACGAGTTCCCGGTGTTCCTGTACACGGACCGCCGCCGCTTCGTCTCCCAGAAGAACGGGAACCTGTACATCTCCAAAGTGGAAGCTCAGGATGCGGGAAACTACTCGTGCTTCGTGTCCAGCCCCATCACCGGGAAGAGCGTGTTCTCCAAGTTCATCCCCCTCATCCCCTTACCCCCCGAGGATGGTGAGCACATACCAGCTCTGAAAACAATATAAACCTCATCCCTATGTTAAATGATGAACTGCCAAAAACAGTCACAGAGAATTGCATGCACACAATCACTAACTAAGTACATTTCTTGTATTATTTGATGTCTTACTTCAACATAATTGTACTTTACTTGAGTTTTTCCATGTAATGCTTCATTATATTTCTATTCCACCACATCTCTGAGCAAATATTCTACTTTTTACTCCATTAGATTTACCTAACGAAATATATTTAGGTTCTTAACTCATAAAACAAGACATTTAAAGAGATCTTAAACATTTGTCTGACAATCTATTGACCAAACAATTGATCATTCTAGGAAATAATGAGTCATAATGAAAATAATCGTTAAATGCCGCTCTACAATGTTACTATTATCTTTCAGTATCCTTAATTTATACTAGGAGACTGTATGATTGACTAGCACCTTATTTAAGATGTATATGGATAATATACTCCATTTATATGTAGTAAAGTGCAGAAGGGTTATTTGAAAAGTGTTGCATTATTAATGTAATAGCAGTTAAAACAGGACCGGTCAAATTTGACTGCGAACACCAAAGTAAGGGGGGGAAAACGAAGACAATAGGAGGGTTAAAGAATATTATAATATACTGTTTTTAAAACTAACAAATACATATATGTTTATAATATGTCGTCATTTGTGTAAAAAGTAACGACAAGTGTCGAATAAATGTGGTGTGAAAAGTGTTGTTTATCCTCTTAGGTGTAATGGAGTAGAAGTATAAAGCAGTACCTCAAAATGTACTTAATTAAATTCCACCTCCGCACACTATCTCGTCACGTTTGAACATTTTGTTAATAATAAAAATGTTTTGCCTCAGGTGAGGAGAGAAAATACCCAGCAGACATCAGGGTGAAGTTTCCCGACACGACTGCCATGCTGGCTTCTAATATTACTTTGGAGTGCTTCGCTCTGGGAAAGTATGATTCCTGTTTACTCAATGTACTGAAATAATGAGTTCTGAGGCTTACAAGATATTTATATACTGGCACATACTGTAGGCACCTGTTCACTTCCTCTGTGTCCCCTTTCAGCCCCATCCCTGACATTGTTTGGAGGAAGGTGGACCACACAGACCTGCCACCCAGTCATGAGATCAGCGAATCAGGAGCCGTGCTTCACCTGTACAACGTGCAGTACGAGGACGTGGGGGGGTACGAGTGTGAAGCCATCAACACTAAAGGGAAGGACTGGCACAAGGCCTGGCTGTATGTGGAGTGTAAGTGATTGTCGTTGGCGTTGACCAATCACAACAGAGCTGGCCAGCTAACCAATCAGAGCAGACTGGGCTCTGGTTTCAGACAGAGGGTGAAAAGAGGTGCTGTAGCACAGGCAGTATGAGAAAAATAAAGAGCTTTTTGAACATTAAAGCATGGAGACAGAAAATACAAATATGAACCTGAAATGAGAATAGTATGTCCTCTTTAATTATTTAACCCTAACCAAAATGATGACTAAATGAGTTGGTCAATAAACCTTTTTCATGTGCATATTGGAGACTAAAATGCTGTTCATTTTTTTTTTGATTTACTTAAATAAAAATTAACAACACTGATCAGGGAATAAAGAAGATTGTGAATCCAGGTCATATTTTGGCTAGACTAGATTGACTGAATAGTTAAATATAACCTGATGACTAAAAACACAAACAGATCACAAATTGTTGTTAAACTAAAATAGTAACAGTTTTCTTTGACTAAGAGAAAACTAAAATGCCCACACTTAAGTATTTCATAATTAAGGATGACTTACTATGATCAAATCAAACAAGGACATTTGTACTAAGATTAAAACTAAATGAAAGAAAAAACTTCACTACTAGCACTGCAGTTGTATATCAGTTGATGTTAAGATTTAACTAAGAGCAGATAAAAAAAGGAAGCTATGTCAGCAGTTTAAGCACAATGTGTTGCAAATAATAACTTTTTACTTAACTTCTGGCTAACTTAAGTATTTTACTTACTTTTATTCTTAAATACCCTATATGTTAACTACTGAAATGTTCTTCCTATACTCAATGCTAGCTAGCTAATCTAAACAGTCTTATAATCCTATATCAAATATACTGTATGTCCAGTAGGTATTTCAAAGGTTAACTGTTGTTTAAACCTTTATTTGGAATTTCAAGTATTGACAAAATATTCCCCATTTCCCCCTATTTCACACCTTGAGTAGTTTCAGTCACCATTTAAAATGACTATATTGTGCATGATGTTTGAATATTGGCTTTATCTATCACTTTTATATCCCTGTAATTCGTTCAGCTGCTCCGGAGTGGGCAGAAACCATCAACAACACTCAGATCGACATCGGCTCGGAGCACACCATGCGCTGCGTGGCGTCAGGAAAGCCTTTCCCGTTCATCCGCTGGTACAAAGACGGATACATGGTCAGAGAACAGTTATACGTTCAGTCATTTATTAAACAAAATGAGATTACATGGTATTGACTTAGCATTTGGGTTATGTCTGTGTGTTTTCCAGTATGGGAAAGGGGAGTTGAAGTTTTCCAGTCTCACTTTTGATGACTCAGGAATGTACCAATGTCTCGCTGAGAACTACTGGGGCATAAAATACGCCAACGCTGAGCTGAGGGTCATCGGTGAGACCTTTGAGGAAACCTTTAATTAATTATTTAATATCAGGAAGCACATTTGTAACACAAAACTTATCATGAAATTGGGGCGAGTTCACAAGAGTTCACACCTTATCGTTTCCCACAGCGTGTGCTCCTACGTTCGAGTTTAACCCCGTGAGGAGGCAGCTTCTCGGAGCTAAAGATGGCCGCGTGCTGATCGAGTGTAAACCCAGAGCTGCTCCTAGAGCTAAGTTCACCTGGATGAAGGGCAAGGAGCTCCTCTACAACAACTCAAGGTAAATCCTCATTTACCAGTATCACCTATCCTCTCATTGATGCAAGCTGCGTAGCTTCATTAATTGTGTTCATTGTCAGGATTTCCGTCATGTGGGATGGGACTCTGGAGATCATGAACTCCACGGAAAACGATGCAGGACTCTACAGCTGCTTTGCAGAGAACGACAGAGGAAAGGCCAACAGCTCTGGCTATCTCACTATCACAGGTCTGTGGACATGTGCATACTGTATAAGTGTGTGTACATATTTAAACCCTATTAAAAACATTTTCTCTGATTGTGGAAAAAAGAATGCCATTCAATTAAGTAATTTTTTCACTTTCATCAAGTTGAATCTTTAATCAATCTCAGTCCTGACCAAAGCTATATTTTCCTATTTTTTACGCTTTAAAGGGGACCTATCATGCAAAATGCACTTTGTGATGTCTTTTATACATAAATATGTGTCACCGGTGTGTCGGGGAACTCACGCATCGTCAGAAAATAAAACCCTCTCTCTTTTCCTCCGTACCCAAATCTTTTAAAAATGGGAGTACAACGAGCGGACACAGATTTGCCTACCGAAAGTTGCTATCAGAAACAATGCCTGACGTGTTTTGGACGTAATCTCGTCTTTGTTTACATTAGCAAGCCTCGCTAACACTCAGAGCTAACCTGTACTGTAAAGCACGTGTTTAAAAAGCAGGACATATAAAAAGGAACTCACCTTGTGATAAACCTGCAAGAGAAAAAGCATTTGAGCTCCATACTGTTTCAGAAATAATCCTTGACGTGGTTTAAACAGGATGGCGTTTTATCAAAACCGAATGTAACTTTATCTCAGGTAGAATTCTGATCAGGCATTAGCTCCGCCTCCTCTTTTTTTTTTTTCAAGCTAAGGACCCAAAATCTGAGTTTCTCTAACAGGGCTTCAAAAGAGGGGTATGAGGCACGGCTGCAATGGGCGATCTGTTTGGGATTTTGAAAAAAAAACTTCACAGAGATGTTTTGTATAGGTATGGCCCTACAATATATATTTCAAATATAGCATGATAGGTCCACTTTAAATGTAAATTTGTATATAATTCCACAATGTTTATAGACAGAAACACACACAGTTGTACTTATTTTCTCTATACTAAATCAGGGGGATTGTTTTTTTCACAGTCTGGGTCATGTCAATAATTAGTTGCTTTACACACTGCTGTGCTCCATTAAACACCGACATAACCCCAGTGCAAACAAAATAAAAAGGGCACGAATGAGAAAATGGCTTTATTTGTTGGAAAAAACCACTCATCTAAAAATATTTGGCCATGGGATCAAACATGTGGTGTTAATGGGTTCAAGTGGGGACATTTTTGATCTGATTTTTTATTTTTAAGGGGTGTTAGTGTCTGTATTTTGGCTACAACGTTTATTAAAGACTTATTTAAGTTGCTTAGTTGAGATTTCAAAAACGAATAACAAACTAAAACATCACACCTTTGCTTGAAATGTATGTCATATGTATTAGCACAATCAAAAAATGTGAGTTTTCTTGTTTCCATAGAGCCTACCATCATCACAGAACCACCTGAGGACACTGAGGTGAAGGTTGGTGATGAGGTGATCCTGAGGTGTGGCGCTTCATTCGACCCCATGCTGGACGTCACATTCATCTGGACCATCGACTTCAGGATCATCGACTTTCACTCTGAGTGGGAACACTACGAACGCGTTTTGGTAGGTAGCCTCATTATTTTAACATCTTACACTCACAAACCGTGTCTTGACACCCTCAGCTAATGAAATATATATTTTCTCTTGCACTCCTTCTTTCCTTTCCCCTCTCATCTCCATGTTTTTGCTTCCTGGTGTTCAGAGTGAAGATGGCAGCGGTGATCTGAGAATAAAGAATGTCCAGATTTGGCACGAAGGTCGCTACGCCTGCACCACTCAGTCAGTGGTGGACAGCGACTCTGCATACGCTGACCTCAAGATTGTTGGTACGTCCCAGCATGCTCTGTCTAAAAGGATCATGGATGCCAATCACATATTTACCAGCAGCGTCAGCAATGTTGGTTTTACTTTGAAAGTGTGTGTCCTTTGACAGATTTGTACGACCCATATAACTTAACTTCCTTGCAGTCACAAAACTTTACAGATATGTAGTTTAGATTAAAATCAATGAGTAAAGTTGGCGATTGGCGCCCATACCTGACGCCTCTGGCTTGATTTGGCATTGTTGATCCCATAACACCAGCCATCTAGTTGGTTGTTTTTTTTACTCTGAGCAAATGTACAGAAAAAGATTAATCCGTGTGTATTCCCTCCCTGATCCAGGTGTTCCTGGGCCTCCCGGGGTGATCCGAGTGGATGAGATCGGGGACTCATGGGTGAAGTTATTATGGACTAAAGGGTCAGAGCATAACAGCCCCATCCTCTCCTACACCATCCAGACCAGACACTTCTGGTCCCTGAATGAAGACGACTGGAAGGACGCCAACACTTGTGAGTACTGATTTATATTTGTTTTTATATTCGGGATTGTGGGAAACGGTATTTCGATCTCTCTGTCTGTACACACAAACTGGAAGATTGACAATAAAGTTGACTTTGACTGACTTTTTGATACTGCTCACTGCCAGTAGGGGGCCATCTCGTGCTAAATCCAGCATTCTGACATCACGTCTGATTGCTTTATCCTGCAAATGAAGTCTACTTGCACCCAAACAAGCGACAGAAAATTAAACACAATTATTTTTAAGTCAACATACTATATGTGTCTCCTTAAGCTCCAACCTTTCTGGATGGCCATTCTGAGAAGGCAGAAGTCACAGCCCTGTACCCCTGGATGGAGTATCAGTTCAGGATCATCGCCACCAACGAGCACGGCTCCGGGGAGTCCAGCATCCCCTCCCTCATGATCAAAACCTGGGACGCTCGTAAGAAGAGAGAACTGACATCTGACATATCATTTTTTGTCAAGAATGAACATTAATGGCCTTTCTCTTCCTTCTCAGAACCAGTGGTTTCTCCCACTGATGTGGAGGGTTACGGAGGTAGAAATGGTGAGATCGTCATCACATGGACTGTAAGTAAGCCTTCAGTTAACGTAGATCCAAAATACTACTACAAAGTCTAAGGTGTTTTCCCTTTCCTTTACTCTTTCCACTCCTGACCCCTTAGCCTGTGGAGCCTTGGTATTTCTCCGGCAAAAAGTTTGGCTACATCGTGGCATTCAAGCCTCACGACGCGTACGACTGGTGGTACGAGACCATTTCGGACCCCGAGACGAGGCGGTACGTTCACAGGGACTCTTACTTCATTCCCACAGAAGAAGATTTCCAGGTCAGAGAGTTTCAGGTGAAGATCAAGTCTTTCAACGCGAAAGGAGATGGACCATACAGCCTCACCAAGGTCATCTACTACCCAAGAGATGGTGAGGATTTAGTTTCAGCATGGTTTAATTCCAATGAGAAGAAAGGGAGGACATTAACGTGTAGGGTTGACTAAAATGTTTTCTTTTCCCATCCATTTGTCTGTCTCCAGTACCGATAGAGTCTCCAACAGATATCTACGCCAGGCCTGTTTCCTCCACTGAAGCTCTGGTCTGGTGGTTGCCTGTGATGGACACTGGTACCGGCCTACAGCAGTACATTGAGGGATACCAGGTACACAGCTTTTACTCTCCAAGTTGCATACACTAACTAAAGATTTTGGTGTCAAATGTCTTAAGGCTTATGAAAGACATACTATCTCTTCACACAGAACCGGTAGACATTTTAAATGGTGACTCAAAACTACTCAAGGTGTCAAATAAGTGAGAATGTGGAATATTTAATTAATGGTAAAGACTTTAACTTTGGATTAAGGTTGAAAAAACAAGTTAAACGTTTAACTTGTCAACACATTAGGCTCAAACTGCTGACATACCTGCCTTGTTAGTCTGCAGTGCAATTAAATCAACAAATTACAGCACCTTAACCTCAACTACTATAAAACTGCAGAGCTAGTAACGATTGCTAAAGGCAACAAACTCCAACTAACTGCTGTTGGCAGAATATACCATTTTGGAGGTTACAGGACAACTAATGACTTAAGATTCTGCCCTTGCAAGGAGTACCATAACCACTTTTCATTTGTAATTGTCTTGTAAGTTACCCTGCATTCTACATGTAATTGCATTGACTTCATGTCAGTGTTAGCGAGCTAGCAGGGTATCAACAACACCGTAGCCGGGAGTGTTCACTCTTTATCCAGTGATAACTTTTTTTCTCTTCTTTCTTTCCAGGTGAAATACTGGAGAAAGTACGATGATCCGGAGCCAGGAGCACACCGTATATTTGTTTCAGCCTCAGTGAACCAGACCCGGTTGGAGAACATGCTGCCCGACTCTCACTACCTTATTGAGGTCCGGGCCTTGAATGGAGCTGGCCTCGGACCCCCTGGTGAACACTGCGAGATGTTCACAAAGAGAGCACGTAAGACAAAATATGGACTATAAACACCTACAATGAGAGTTATGGTATAGATATTGTCCTAGCAAATACCTGTGTTTTGTCTCCAGCCCCACCAGACCCTCCCAGGATGTGGCGCTATGTTACCTGGACAGGACAGTGGTTGTATGTGTGGTGGGATCACATCTCGTATGACTGGTTTGGCGATATTTCCTTCCCCCTTTACTACAAGGTGAGTGTGGAATACTTCTATTAAGGCTGCTATCTGTCAAGTCTATAAATACGTTTTTCCATTGGAAACCTTGGCCTCAGTGTCCTCAGGTGGTTCTGTGATGATGGTAGCCTCTATGGAAACAAGAAAACTCACATTTTTGATTGTGCTAATACATATGACATGCATTTTAAGCAAAGGTGTGTTGTTTTAGTTTGTTATTGGCTTTTGAAGTCTAATTTAAGCAACTTAAACAAGTCTTTAATAAACGTTGTAGCCAAAATACGGACACTAACGCCCCTTAAAAATCGAAAATCAGATAAAAAATGTCCCCACTTAAACTCCAGAGTCTACATGGAAAAGTTGAAGATCCAATACTTTTTGTTTTCAAGGTTATGTTCAGAAAGACAGGCTACATCTATGGAAAAGTCTATATGACTGGCTGGCACTTCATGGACTTCCCCATGCCTCAGATGGGAGACTTTGAGCTGTTGGTACGCGGACGTTATGAAGGAGGGGATGGCCCAGTCAGGATGATTAGTATCAAGGGTAAGGCTAGAAAATATAAATATATATATAATACATGATGTCCTCTTGGTCCATTTGTCTCATGCTGTTTCTTCTTCCTCAGGTGAAGCACCAACCATCACACCCACTCTAAGCCTGGCGTCTATGGTGCTGCTGGCGCTCGGCGTTGTGGGATTGGAAATTTAAGCTCTGCCTCAAGTGACATGTGTATATAATAGACTCTGGGGATTACATTTGAATAGAAGGGATCCAGTTTTCACTTCCAAACACTCTGATAGTGGTTAAAATCATGTATCATGCATCTGTTCTGTTGCAACAGGAAGTTGTTTTTCACCAAAAAAAGCATTGGGTGTTGAACCCAACACTTAGTAAGGATGTGCTTCATCTCCTAAATGAACACAACTTTGCTGTATAACTGAGTAAGACTTCTGTACTGGATGATATGTCTCAAGAGAAAATCTAAATAAACTGTCTTATCCATTTTTCAAGCCAAAACGAATGAACCAATAATATTTGTTAGATGATGTGATTAAGCTCTACACAAACTGTGTTCATATAGAAAAAAAAGTCATCCAGGATCCAGATTTTTTTTATGGCACAGTCCTATCACCAGTACAATGCGTCTTATGTTGGACTTCATCACTGTTTCCTGTTGGAGTTGAAACTGGAAAGCGGTGCCAAGGTAAAATTTAACGCATCCATTTCTCACAGGGTCAAGCAATGAAAAGCACTGTATGATATTCACCGCATTTGGAATGAGCAGAGAATAATGTGTGACTGTTGCACATACAATATCACCTATTCTAAACAAACATATTCTTCATAATCTCTTTTGTTCATCTTTTTTTAAGTACATTTTTTTCCTACATGTTCCATGGTGCTGTATTACAGATACAGAAGATGCTTGCTAAATTGTTCATTTAAATCTCCATCCTCACTAGTACTATATGCATAGACAATTTAAGAGTTATGAGTTCTAGCTGCAACAATGAAAGCCATATCACTTTGAATGAAGCCAGGGTTGGAAGAAATATCCGTATATCACATATATGTAAGTTCCTTTATGTCAGGCTGCAAAACCATTAAACAGAGTACAACAATCTGGATCATGTCATTGGTTTAGCCATTTTAAAATAGCCAAGTACTGGTGCTCCTTTCATTACAGTGGGTTCTCAGAATGAAAAGATCAAACAATTTGAACTCGAGACAAATTACCAAATCACTTTTTTGCTACTACTGCAATTTATCCAATGCAGTGTTTGGAGTTCAGGAAGAACTATAATGTCATGCCAGCAAACTGAAATGTGATGTGTGATTTCAATCAGCAGATGGCAGTATGTCTATGTGCCATTTACCACCGTTCCTGTATCATTCGGCACAATCTCAATTCTATCGGGAATTGTGACATTTATCCTTTATAGTTGTTTACACTAAATGTTTGCATTACGGCAAAAATGAATGAAAGCAATATTGTTCACACCTGCCTTCATGTTGTTTCACACATAATGCAGAACTCTGCTTCTTCTTATCACTTGTAAATAAGGAAGTGTTGCATATCCATTATTTTGTCTGTAATGCTGTTTCAGGAAAAATCAAAAGGATTGTTTTGTTTTTTCGTTATCTCTGTATGCCTTTGTTTGAGCTTTTAAGCAAGCGTGATTGTCTCTTGTGTGGGAGGCTTTTATCTCTCCTTTTTTTCTCATCCATTCCCAGCAATTCCCTCATCTTACATCCTGTCCTTCAAACAGATTACCAAGACACAGACAAATATCCCAGGTGAGCTGCCGTCATTTACAGGCAATCAAATCACATGCACTAAGCGTCTTTGGGTTCAAAAAAAGCGCTATAGAAATAAAATATATGATTATTATAAGGTGAGTCCCACTCTGCAGGGGAATGAGTATTCCTTTAGACAGAAATGTTTTCTGTTGGCTTGACATTTTTTAAATAGGACCACTCATGTGCGAGTTGCCACTGAGCAAGGCACTAAACCCCAAGTGGTCTGCTAAATTGGGCATTTACATTGGTCAACACAGTCAGTCGCATGCAAAATCTTGAAATGCTGCTTATGTGTTATCAGAGTGGATTTGTGGTAGCTCTGGATGATATTGAGCTAAGATATGTGCAGGAAGCAAAACACTCCCATAGCTATTACTGTAAACTAGGAAGGTGATGGGTTAACTCACCTGATCAAAGATGCATATGCATTGGCTGTACTTTCAAAATAAAATGCATCGCCACAGAGTGGTGCTCACACTATGGTTTGCAGCCCACTGTGTGGACGTGCCAACGATGCATCTTGGGGCGAATGGGGTTAGAAATACAGAGCTAATTCAATTCAATTAACTTAGTGTACTACAGCTCAGTGTTAACATACTTGTACTGGACCTTAGTAATTCTATTGATATGCTACTTTGAATATGCTATTCTTTGTTACTCTTTATTTATTTGACAGCTTTAGTTTCCAGTTACTCTACAGATGACTGCCTTTGACAAACAAAGGGAATAACATGTTGTGATGTATTTGTAGACCAAACAAGGTGGTCCAAATACTGGTTGGCAATAGCAGTAATATTCTAAAAAACACAATTCCCCAAACACAATAATAACAACATATTTTATCTTTTTTTTAATCCTGATAATGATGTTATTGTGAATTTTGAAAATCTAATATTGTGGCACTATTAGACTACATTGTCCAACATTTATATTTAAAATAGGATCCACTTTGATGGGCTACAGCCATTACTCAATAATGCGACCATTCTACCCAATAATTAATTCTTCATGCAGCTGTTCTTAACTTTTTTTATCGACAATATTCCCAGGACAGATGCAGCAGACGAACTCCCACAATGCACCTAATTATTTACCTATCAGATATTCCCTTTGCTGCTTTCCATTTGATCAGAAGACGCTCTCTGGCTCTAAGGTTGGACCTGTGATGGTGGGAGCACATAAATACATTTAATAATAGAGCTAGGTGCTCAAAGCGAGTGGAGCCTCTGCGATTTTCCTACCTCTCACAGGCTCTCATTGCATTTTTATCAAACCCTCTCGACCCTTTTAACCCAATTTCCCCTCTCTGAATCATCCATATCCACATAGGGCTGTGTTTTTGCATAACAGCACACTATAGATTTCAATTTCCTATAATTGGAGCACCAAGGGGAATGCTATGAATACACGAACAAATATAGGGGAAAGTTTAAAATAAAGCCAGTCAAGCGCCAAACCAGGACATATGCAAAGCCTTCACATTGGCCCATAAATCCCATACATTTGGCAGCGCCCCCTGGCTTGCTAGCTAGTTAGCCCAGACTGGAGACGCCACTCCTGCTGGTCCCACGGAGCGTTTAGCCTAGTGAGCGACATCAAGATGGCTCAGGGCTTTGGAAAGAGCCACACTAAATCTCCCAGACCAATTTGGCGTGGCAGAGCTGGCCTGTGTTAGCAGCTCAGTTAACCAGGTTAGCAGCCTGTAAGAGCACAGTTGGAGGCCCCTCCTGCTGGTCGATTGGCTGAAATGGGCTGCTGTGTCAGAACAGGAAGTAATTGCTTCTTCTATGGATAGTTTATGACCTAGTTTACCCTGTGAAGAATAGCTCTTTCACGTATCCCTCTTCTGGTGGCGGTGCTTTATCAGGCTTTCCCTCTCGCTATTAGTGAGCAGATCGTACCTTAAGGCCAAAGGGAACACTTTTAGCTGCATTGTGTGGCACTAAGGGCTAATTGATTGCTTACTGAGAAAAACCTTTTCTGTCTTCTCTCACAGAAAAGGTTTTTCCTGTCCCTTGACTTGGGAAACCTCATTGTTGAAATATTCCCTGGATACCCAGTAGTGTCTAAATTCAGTATAACAATAGGCAGGGTGTATTGTTGTGTGACTTGGTTGTGCGGCTCATCAGCCCGCTGCCAGGTTTGTGTTCTCCCTGCACCAGGACCCCCCAGTCAGCTTTGGCAAATCCTCTCTCTTCCTCCCTGCTCTGTGCTGGCAGAGCCATCCCTTGGTATTGCTGATGCCAGAAAAACAGTTTCCAATCCTCTTTGAGTGAAATGAAAGATTAGCAGCAGTGTGTCTGGAGCCAGGAACCGTTGTGGCTGTGAACACTTTTCAGCATTTGTGGAGGTTCATTCAGTTTGATTGTTGGAACTGGGAAACGGGCAAGCGAAACTCAACTGTTTTATTTTCAAAATGTCATACTATACTATGACTCTTTTTCACATGTTTTAACATACTATACTATTGCATTTGAATGTTTTTTCTCATTTGTTTTTTTATATTTTTCGTGATATTTTAGACATAATGTAAATTTTTTTTGGTATTTTTGACATACTATGTAATTCCTTTATTATGACGATATACTATACTATGTATTTTTTCTAGGGCCGGGACTTTAACGCGTTAATTAAGATTAATTAATCACACAAAAATTAACGCGTTAAAAAAATTAACGCATTTTAATCGCACTTATTTTTGCACCGCGGAACGTTTCTCACTGGATGAGTTTCAGGCGTACCAATTATACTGGAGCACCAACTAACGTTCATGACTTCAGACAACAACAAACCACAGTGAACAACAGTGGGAAATGTTGTTTTAAAAAACGGACGGATGGAAGCGTCGATAAGAGCACGGTTGTGTGCAAATTATGCAAAAAGGAATTCGCATATCACCGCAGCACATCAAGCCTCAAGTATCACCTCAATGCAAAACATATAGCAGCTAGCGTGGAAGCTAGCGTGGACGTTAGCCTCTTTTATCGCGTTCACACCAAAAAGAGCCGGTACTAAAATTAGTTCATGAGAACCTTTTTACCCCCACGAAAGTCCCTGCTAGAGAGCAGAGAGCTGCTAGAGAGCAGGGATTTTCGTACGGCTCTCTTGTGAGAAAAGAGCTATATTTCTGATTGGATGGGTGGATTGCAAACCACGCCCCGTAAAACTCCCAAAAAGTTTTGTGAAGCCGCCATTTTATTATCCTCGCATTAGCATTATTAGTATTAGCCCAGCGCAAAAACGCAGAGAGACTAACTTATGGCAACACAAAATAAAACATGGGAGCGGTGGAGATGAGGAGGTGTCGGCGTTCTGGCGATTTACTCGGAAGGCTGCTGGGACTCCCAGCAGCTTCTACTGAAGCCAGTCCCCAACTCCGGGGACTTTGGGCGGCAGTATACGCCGTGAAGTGGTTTGCGGCCTGCCAGTAAACCCAAAGCAGAAGAAGAAGAAGTGACGTCAGCGGCTTCATTTGCCTAATCCTCCCCCAGGTTCAAAGAGTTCTCATGAACCTTTGTGGGAAAAGTACTGCGGTGTGAATGCGCCTAATGGTATACTAAAATCCATGTGAAAAAAATTGCTTCTCACTGTTCTCAGGTCAAATATTTATATGTGATTAAAAATGCGATTAATTTCGATTAATTAATTACAAAGCCTCTAATTAATTAGATTAATTTTTTTAATCGAGTCCCGGCCCTAATTTTTTCCAATTTCTTCGACAAGCTATACAATTTATTTATTTTTACAACTATACCATTACATTATTTCAGATTCTTTTGACATACTATAACTTTTGCTTACGCTTAAACTATTTAAAAAAAAGTATTTTGTGACATTTTATACTGTGGCGTTTATAAATACTTTCTACTTAGCCTACTATATAGTATGAATACATTTTTATGACTTAAGGCTTTTTTTTAAAGTTTCAACATAAATAGGTTTGATATATAAATATATTATGACTTTATACTACTTCTGTTTAATATATACAAATAATGTTTTGCTAAAACTCTTTTCTACCTGCTCAGCGTAAAATCTCCCCGAGTATCAGGTGTAGACAGGAAAGAAAGGCTTTAGCCATTAGTGTTGTGCGTTCTCAGCTGTCACACAGGAGGCCATGCAGTGACGGATGCATGTCAGCCTTATGAAAGAGGAATGTGATACCTGTGCTGTCAGGAAGGAAAGCTGGAAGCAGACGGAGACAGGAAACACGCTGGCAGAAAAAAGCAGGAGATATTTGAGAAAAGGAAAGAAGATCCCTTGAAAGACACCGCAAAATAATGTGGATACCTCAGCTCACTTTAGGCACCATCATCACTTCAGTCTACTCACCACCACCACAGAATAATGACAGGATGTATCACACATTTCTATCCACATTTTGAACAACTAAATTAATATTAAGATACAGCTTTCAAGCATACAAGTAAAAATGCTGAACTACCGCACAAAAATATCTTCAAATCCCCCTTCTTTCTCTTGAAATGTGCGTCAACGCATTACAATTGCCCAAAAACATTTCATTAGGAGAAAGGGGTT